CTGGGTTGTGCAGACCGCCGCAAGCGACTTCATCAAGGCCATCATAACCATCTCTGCCAACGCCTCGCAGAACGAGCAGCAGTGCATCGGCCCCAACGAGCTCACACGTCAGCTCGTTTCAAAGCCCTGTGTCGAGCAACTGGTTGGCTACATGCTTGGAGGTGGCAACCCTCTGACTGTCGGTGTCGGCATCATCATTGAGGTGATTCGAAAAAACAATTCCGACTACGATCCGGACGTTGGAACAGAGGCCACCGCCACGCCTTCCAGTCGCGATCCCATTTACCTCGGTAATTTGTTGAGGCTTTTTGCCCAGAATGTGCCCAAGTTCATGAGCCTCATCATGAACGAGCCATCAAAGAAGCAGGGTGTCGACTCGACTTTCAACGAGAAGCTCGAGCCTCTTGGGTTCGACAGGTTCAAGACTTGTGAGCTCATGGCGGAGCTCTTGCACTGCAGTAACATGGGCTTGCTCAACGAGATTGGCTCGGAACAGGTGATTGCGACTCGAGACTTTGAGCGTCAGCGCCTTCGAGCCGAGGGCAAGCTGACTCCCCGAGACGATGACGGATCTGCCGATGACTTGACGATGCGCATCCCTCACCCGTCCCACCATGAGGAGGTCCGCCGCCTGGAAGTCACCAATGCCGATGACGATGGCTTTGAAGAGGTGGAGCCCACCAATGAGTTGAACGAGGACACCTCTCATGAGTTTGTCAAGGCCGAGGATGACATTGCACCGGGCGCGACCGCATCTTCATCTTCCTTCCTCGAAAAGGACGAGGAGGAATTTGTCGACGAGCCTCTCAGCTCTCCTCGGCTAGCAGTGGCCACGGCGGGGATGAACGAACAGCGCTTTGAAGTACCAGACCTTGTTGTTGCGCCTCTTTCGCCCACAAAGGCAAAGTCTCCCGAGCTGGCAAAAACGGTGGCGGAGAATCCTACTGCCGTCGAGGATCGGACCAAGGCTACTGCAGAGGATCAAAAGCCCGAGACTGTTGCAACTGTTCTCTCTGGGCCTATTGTAGTAGAGACAGCTGGCGCGGGCAGTGCAGTACCTTCAGAACACCCCGAGGCCGACTCTTCGTCCCAAACCGAAGCCACAAAGCCCGGGTTGCAGCCATCGCCGCTGCCCAGGCAAGACGACGTGAAGAAGAGCGAGCCAGTCACCAACACTCCTCAAGAAGCCCCCGCCTCTGTTGCCGAGTTGGTTCCTGACGAAATTGAAAAATCTCGTGGCCTATCCCCCCATCCTGAAGATACCCCGCCCCCTCTCTTCTCCGTTCCCCTTGCCCCTGATTCCGGCGTCCAAGAGCCACCACGGTCATTCACACCGCCCCCAGGCCCTGAGTCAGGCCCTGCTGAAACTGTAACTGGCGAGAAACCTGCAGAGACAGCAGCAGGTGATGCTACCGAAGCTGTTGTGGGCGACTTTCTTAAAATGCAGTTTGTTGAGCATCGTGTTGTTCCGGCGATATTAGTATGTGTGGCCTAGCAATTATCCAACAGAACCCAGCTAACATCAAGCAGTCATTCTTCTTTGCATATCCATGGAACAACTTCCTCCACAACGTCGTGTATGATATTGTGCAGCAAGTGTTCAACGGTCCGATGGACCGTGGTTTCAACCCGACATTGGCCGTGTCTCTCTTCGAGGCTGCCGACATCACCAGCGCCATCATCAAGGGCCAGCAAGCCAGCGACGAATCTCAGGCCAGGACCAAGACCCGTATGGGATACATGGGACACCTCACGCTGATTGCTGAGGAGGTTGTCAAGTTCACCGAACGCCACCCCCCGGAGCTTCTGTCAGAAATGGTCCTCGACAAGGTTATGAGCCAAGATTGGATCAATTATGTGGAAGGTGCTCTCGCGGAAACACGAGAGCGAGACAACGCAATTCTGGGTGGCGTTCGACCCGAGGTTGCCTTGGGACACCGGGCCAGCCTCGGCGCTAGTGGCCTAGGCGGCATCGGACTCTCAGGTCTTGCAAACACGGCCAGCGGATCGAATGCCCTGGCAGAGGCTGGCCTCAATGGCGGCATGGAGATGAATGAGGGAGATGGTAACGGAATTGGCCCCTTTGCGATCGGCACGGGCACTCTGATGTCTGGATTTGGAAGTAGTAGCGACGAAGACGACGATGAGGGCGATGGGGATGAAGAAGATGTGAATTCCGAGGTGAGTAATGATTCTTCCGATGAGCACGGCAACGAGTCTCCTGAGGCGACAATGGGCATGCCATATACACCCGAGGATGTCATCATGATGTCTCCCGAGCCGATCAGGGCGGAATCTCCAGACGCCATGGCTTTGGAAGCCGATGCTGACCTGGATCCACCGGGCCAGGACATCATGGTGATTGAGGAAGGGGGATGGATTCAGAGGCGAGACCCAAGCCAAGGCCCCAATAGAAGGATAGATTTCTCTTAGGACGAGGAACAAGTTTCAGAAGACGCCATCTTCAGCTTTAATAATGATACCATCGACATGCCTGGAGCCTCTGATGCGCTAGAGTCCTCCGGCCCTGATGATGAAGAACTAGCGAGTCTCAACATCACTGGATTGGAGCTGGAGTATCTCTCGAGGCTGCTGGCGAGGGCGGAGGGGAGACAGAGGGAGCATTGAATATGAAATGGGCGTTGAGGCAATTTGTTTTACCTTTGTGGATAAGATTGGAGAATCAGATGGCAGCCTCTTGGTCTTTTTTTTTTAATTGTGGATAGCGCATTGAAAGAGAAACAAGAAAGCCGAGGAAAACGAATTTGGAAGATGGCATTGTTTTTGCAGCATTGTTCGAGGAGAATACCGCATCAGAAAAAACAAAGGGGGGGAAAAGATGTTATCATGCACCATTTGTCAGCCTTAGGGACTTTGATCAACTGCCAACGCTCATTTACTCTCGTCCTTCCCTTTCCCATTCTTCTCTCTCCTCCTCCTCTTCTTCCCTGCATTCCTCTTGCTTCATCTCAGGAAGCCTGTTTTGCTGATGCCCAAGGCTTAGTTCCGATCTTATACTGACTCGCTGAACCAGGGATCGTTGGCTCCGCCGTCTATCCCGCCTCCTCCTCCGCCGCCGCCTCCGCTGAACATTCCGCCTTCGAGAGCTCGTCTGCAGCTTGCGGCGCGGCTGGCAATGCATCAGAAGAATAACCAAGCTGCACAGGCCACGTCGGCTACAGTTCACGATGATAACGATGATGATGATGACGACAATCTTGAAGACCCGTTTGGCGACAATGAGGCCGATATTGATGACGACTTGGACGATGAAATGTCTGGCAACATAGGCCGTGGATCATGGTGGAGAGGCGTTGTTAACAGGAGAAGCGGGCTCGAGGACGAAGATTCTGATGATGACGAAGAAGAATTTGGAGATTTCGCCATGCCAGAGGAAGAGAAAGCTGGAGATGGACAAGACCAGGATAACGTGGTGTTGAAGCCTCTTGCAGTCCACCCGCCCAGGGAAAGCAGTAGAGGCCTAAGCGGCCTGTGGCCCTTTGGCTCAAGAGCTGAGAAAGAGAAGAGCGATGGCAAGGATGAGCAGAAGGGCGATGACGATGCTCGCATGGCAGGAGAGGGAGACGAGGAGCCTGAGAAGAGGGCGATAGAAGTCAAGGAGGCACAGCGAAGAACCAGCATTGAAGACGATGACGACGATGACGAGACCAACGTGGGGACGGAATACGGAGCTGATTTCAAGGCTTAGATTATATAGACAGGAGAGTGTATGAATGAGAGAATTCTGGACGCGGAATGACGAATGAAGAAGGAATGAATTGGGAAAGATTGAATGGATAATATGGGCATGAGATGAGAATACGTCGTGTATGAAATGGGAATGATGGGATGGGATAGGGATGGGTTGTGTGGCTGGGCTTATATACGGTAGCTCAAGGGATCTGTGTACTATTATTATGTGGGTTATTGGGTGGATGAGGGCAGAGGCTGTAGATGGAATGACCCGAACGCTTTTTCTTTTTTTGTTGTTGTGATACCAATTTGATGAATGAGTTGGTGGTTGCTGTGATGTGAATTATGAGGCTGTGTTGGGAGGGAGCTCTGTTATACATGACCATGTCCATTGGAGTATATGGGATCTCGTCAAGTATTTCTTTTTCGGTATGATGTCTTTTAATTCTTTTATCCCCCTGATACCACAACACGGGATTTCGTCAAGTATTTCTCTAAAGTGTGATATCTTTTTTTTTTTTTAATTCTATGAGACAACTACTGGATTCTCCTCTGCTTGGATTCTTGGCAGCATTCAACTCCGGTAATTCGCATCGTCAAAGCCCTATTTCTCATTTAATATACTAACTAGATTTCTTCAAAAGTAAAGTAGGCGATGTCGGAGGAGGTTTCAGTGTTGGCTGTTTCAGTGAACTACCGTTTTTAGAACTCCTGAATCCCATAGAAAGTAGCACGAGCGAGGCGTTTTTTGGGGGTTCAGCCTTTGGGCAGTGCGCGGGCCGTGTACGAAGAAGATCTGCTCAGCTGAGACAATCCTTTTGTTGTTGCCTATTTGCCAAGGGGGTGTGGAAAGAAGCGTGACTCGTGTATTTGTTCCGACTGGGAAACTGATAATTGTCAAATACCATTCTACCAACGGTGATGCCGTTAAAAGTTGAAAGTCTCTTGATGATAGTAGATACAGTCATGTAATTTGAAATGTATGCATTCACTTGTAAACTACAAAAGAGAGTATTTTTCGTGAATGTTGTTTGGGCGGCTTGAGAAGGATGGCCGGTGCCTTGTCAAGCCTTGTCTTGCACCCGCATACATTCAGGTGACACAATTGCTGCGGAACAAGGCTGTGAATCCGCCTCGCAAAGTGCCATGGCGAGGCGAGGCGAGGCGAGGCAAGGCATCTGATAACTCATCTTGCTACATACATAATCAGGACGTGTGCAGTCTCGCAACGAAACCAAGCTCCTGTCCGAATCTCATTCACCATCAGTCTCTGTTATTACCACCACTATCACACAACCTTGTCAATCATGCCTTCAGACAACGGCGCAAACATAAAGATCGTGGCCGGGATAATGGGAGCCATTGCCGCAGCGGTCGCCGTCATTGTATCCATCAAAGCCGTCATCCAACGATCCCGGAACAAAGCTGCGGCTTCATCGAAAAGCCGCGCTGCTGCCAAGGCCAAGGCCAAGGAGGCATCCAAAGCGGATATCAAGAAATGGTACAAAGAGGCCCTGAACAAGATCGTCACCGCTCGTCTCGAGAAAGAATCAAGCGTCGAGTCGGGCGAGCCGGTTTTCCTGTCGCATTATATCAGCCAGGGTCAATTCCGCCACTGGGTGTTGCATGCTCATGACTTCAAGTACGAATTACGCCAAGCAGAAGCCGGCGATTCAAGCACACCCGGACGCTACGAGGCGACGATTAACCCATCGGGCTTTAACCTCAAGGCGTACAAGCAGTCGGTCATTACGAGATATTCCCCCGAAGTCGGCCATTACTTTTATAGCATGATTGGTTGGACGAGCCTCTCTAAAGAACAAATTGACGACAAGTGTCAACGGGTCTCGACGACGTTTGGGAAATACGCTCTTTTCTCGAATAATTGCCACGATTTCCTTCAGCAATTGGCCGACAAAATCGTGACCAAGAAGGCGCCGGACTGGGAGTGGTTTCGGATGAACAGCTTGGGCGGTTACGATTATCTTAAGCGACCAGCGCTGGGTTATCAGGTCATAGGCGTTGCGACGTGGACTAGGCATTTGAAGCGGATGAAGCATTATCTCAGCGCAGCCGAGCAACAAAGTCTTGAAGAGTTCATCTTGTTTCTTGAGGAATTTGTTGAAATCCACTTGAATAAGACGACAACAATGTTGACAACACAAACTGTAATGTATGGGCAGAATGACGGCGGAGGGGACTATGTTGACGGTAGTGGAGGCCAGGGGGATTATGATGGCAGTGGAGGCCAGGGACATCAGGACAGCGGCGGCCACGGGCACGGAGGCGGCGGACATCATGATGGCGGAGGTGGGTTCTTCGGAGGCGGCGGCGGCGGCGATGGTGGAGGAGGAGGTGGTGGAGGAGGTGGTGGTGATGGTGGAGGCGGCGGAGGCGGAGGAGGCGGCGGCTGTTAGTTGAAGCGGCTGTTAGTTGAGGCGGTCTCAATGGCAAGAGATTCCGCGATAATAGACAGGAGTCTAGGGTCCAACAAGTTCCACGCCCGTCGAGGTCCATGGTGCTGTGCGTGCCTTGAAATGGAGGTCAATTATAACGTTACTGCGAAGTCTAAGGAGGATGGAGGGAGATGATTTAGTTATGGGGTTCCAGTGAATAAAACAGGAATAGAGTAGGGGATATCGATGTTGCATTGCTGCTTAAATTCGAGTCGGTTAGATATGTCCTGGCATGGGTAGACAAACGAACGACTCAGCCAAGCTCTTTTTCGATATTACCCTCTTATAAAAGGACAACGCATACTTGACAACTGATGAACAAAATGATAACCCAGGGCCTTTTCATTTACGATGAATTCTTTGCCGTTGGGTTGGATGATTTAGCCGTTATGCCACTCGAGAGTCGTATTGGGCAGCTGAATGGGGTAGCGATTACATTTTCGCAGTATTGAATTATATATAGTAACTAATGCAATAAACTGTCTTTTGGGCTTAGAGATTTAAGAATACATGCATATTTTGTGTAAGCTACTGCTTGAGGTTATACTTCAAATAAGGTGAGGCAGTCTTTACGAGAAGAATAGGTGCCCAACACGAGCGCAAAAAAGCAGCATAGTGCCGTAGTAGCTTTTCAGCGTCCTTGAACAACTCGGCTGGGCCACCGACATATGAAAAGCAGCTTTCCAAGGTACATGTACAAGTCTCAGCCCAACTCAGCCACTTAGATGGCCTTTGGGGTCACAGTGTCACATTAGGCCGTAACAGAATATAGTTGGGCACCAGTATTTAATTACCTAGTACTCTTTTATTGCATTGTGCAGTGACAGCTTCGCTCAATTTTTGCATCTCTCGACGCTCGTAAAAGTCCAATGCTATGGAGAGGATGTTTAACCGCAAAAAGCCCAAGGATAAGGATGCGAGGTCCAGCTCAAGGTTATCCATTTTTGGCAGAAAAAAGGATAGAACTGATCAGCAAGCCCACGACAATGGAGGCCCGCCAGAATCCAGTGCTTTGATCGGTAAGATTGGAGGTTTTGATATGCGCCTTACTGGATCCAAATAACTTATACGTTGCATCAGATTTCGCTGTTCCAAATCCTATCGAATCCTCTAATGCTCCAGAGCAGCCCCCGACATCTAATACGGCCTCATTAAGTCCTGACGATGAATACCAAAATACGCCAATAGTCGAATTGTGGAACTCAGCATACGAGAAGCTACGAAAGGAAAATAAACAACTAACCGACGAATATGAGACCAAACTCCAAAAGAGCTTGGATGCCGCATTGGATCCTGTACCGGATACCAAAGAAGACGGACGAAAGTGGATGGGCCGGCTATTACAACAAAAGATGGAGCAGATTCAGAAAGATGCCTGGAAGATTATGTTTCTGGGCTCTGAGATTCGGCCAGCTGAGATGGTGGAATCTGTTCTGAGAGTCATTAAAATGGCCAACGACTCAATTGCAGCCACTATTGTCCCAAGCCCTTATGCTTCGCTTGCCTGCGTCGGTGTAAGCGCGTTGTTCTCAGTGCGTAAAATGCTATGCACAAACATCTTTGCGAGAGTTACTAAAAGACTTTAGATTTGTTTAACGCCTGGCAATCAAGCGGTTTATCTCGCAAACGAGTTCAAATACGTCTTGTCACTTATCATTCAGGGCCGTATGAGAGAAGATCTCTATCGGCGTCGCTACGAAGGTCAAAACAAAGTCGAAGAACCATTTCCAGAGACACACTCAAACTATAAGGCTACGTTAGAGCTGTTATACCAGCAGATACTGAGATTCCAGATACATTGCTATTGCTATTATGCTCAAGACAATGTCTCTCGTCTTCTTGGCGATTTCTCGAAGAAGAATGACTGGACCGGCCTGGCTGAAGACATACGTCGGCAAGAAGCCCAAATGGCTGCCATCGATAAGATTTGGCGCGATCAACGATATGACGAGGAATATGCTGCATCTGAAAGACGGTATCAAGGAATCGTATTCAACTTGAAAACCATTGGCGCCGATATCTCAAGTCTGCGGGAGGCAGTGGAGAACGCCAATCGGTACCGAAATGAGCAAGAATTGCTTGACTGGTTATGCGACATAGACCCGTCGGACATGTATAACGCTGCTCGCAAAAGACACAAGGCTGGGACGAGCGAATGGCTGATTAAAGAGGATGAACAATTTGTATCTTGGGTACAAAGCCCTTGTTCCTTTCTATGGCTTCATGGGAAGGGTAAGTTTAGATTCCTCATTTGGCTTGATGTTTTCTTTTCTTTTCTTTTCTTTTCTTTTCCCTCTCTCTTCTTCTTGTTCTTCTTCTTGTTCTTCTTCTTGTTCTTCTTTTTTTTTCCCCATATAGCGCAATACCGAGATTGGCCGTCTGACAATGAATAGCTGGATGTGGCAAATCGGTGCTAAGCTCTTCCGTCATACATCATCTCCAAAGGGAGTATAAAGACGACGCCTCTACCGCAGTTGTCTATTTCTACTTTACCTTTAGTGATGCCAAAAGGCAAGAAAGTGACGGGATGCTAGCTTCTCTTATCAAGCAAGTCTGCTGTTACCGACCGAATATACCCGATCTAGTCAATGATCTGGGTGACTATAAGAAAAAGGGCATGCGGCCGTCGACAGAAGAGCTCCAGAATAGCCTCATATCAACCCTCCGTGGATTTACCAACGTATACATCGTCATCGATGCTCTAGATGAATGCTCAAATATGAATACACAGCGAGAAGAACTTATGGAAATACTGCATTGTATCCTCGATACTAACCTCAACAATCTCCATCTGTTCTGTACTAGTCGCAAAGAGTCTGACATCGATGCCTCGCTCCATCACCAATTTTCCAAACCGGGTAGAGAATCGCTTGATCTATCCTCTCACCTGAAAGAGGTCGAACGTGATATTGGAGAATATATAGACTCAACTCTTACAAACGCCAAATATAGCTCTTGGCCAATCGATATCAAGGCCGAGGTTAGAAAAGTTCTGATTGAAAAGTCAGATGGGATGTATGTCTTCTATTGAGCGAGTATAGTGACGCCGACGCTAATACCAGGAAAGGTTTCAGTATATTCGCTGCCAGTTTGAAGCCCTACAGAAGCTTCGTTCTCCTAGAGATATTCGTCGAGCGTTAGGGGATCTTCCCAAAGGACTTGATGAAACATACGATAGAATGCTTCAGGGCATAGACGATCGTTATAGGAAATCAGTGGCGAATTCCCTCAAATGGCTCGCGATCTCGATGCGGCCATTGACGATAGATGAACTGGCCGAGATCTTCATCATGCACCCATATGGTGCCGTTGTTATCGACAGTACGGAGCGCCTTTTTACCACACGGGACGTGTTAATATATTTCTCTGGCCTTATCGTCGAGAATCGAGAGACCGTTCGCTTGGCTCACTTTTCGATTAAAGAATATTTGGTATCCAGTCGAATTCAGCAGCATCTTGCCTCCACCTTTTCGTTTAACGATATCGACGCCCATTTGTTCATTGCATACTCGTGCTTCTCCTATCTCAGTTACATGAGTTCTTTAGCCAACGAGGGCGATAAACAAACTCACTCCCTGAAGGCTTACGCGGCTTCGAGATGTCTGATCCATCTCGAAATGGTCCCTTCCGAGTACTGGCATACGGGTGTTATCGATAAACTAGTGGAGGTTCTTGCTATTCGAAGCCAAAGCCTCTTAAATATCATCTCTGGACATTTTGCAAGGGGATTCATGAATTCTCATATACTTGCACAAGTTGGATCCGCAGGATTGTTGGACCTGCACCTGCGGCCATACTGTTTAACCGCTTACCACGGTTTCGTTCGCATAACCGAATGCATATTATCGCCAGCGTTCAGTGCAAGCAAGTATTTGACACAAGGAGACCTAAATACAGCACTCTGGTATGCAGTTCATGGAGGCAGAAAGGAAGTGGCTGTGCTTTTATTGGAAAGAGGTGCCGACCCGAACACATCAAGAACAACGACAAAAAACAATATTGAATGCGAATTCGAGAAACACGGGGACTTGCTGCAGTTTGCTGCATCGGAAGGCAATGCAATAATGGTTAACTTGCTCTTGGATAGGGCTGCCGATATCGACGCCCAACGATGGGGCTCAGCTTTGCAGGCTGCAGCAGGACATGGGCATCTCGATATCTTGAAGCTTCTTGTGGGACGCGGGGCAAGCATAAACGGCCCCTTTAATGGAAAAAGAACTGTCCTTTCAGCAGCAATATGGTATGATGCGTGTTTTCAATATTTGATAGACAGTGGAGCAGACATCAACATGCGTGGTACCGCCGAGGGAGCCGAGACAGCACTTTGCCAAGCAGCGCGAAACCAACTCTGGAGTCAGTTCGACCTGCTCCTCGACAGAGGTGCCAATGTCAATATAGGTGATGAAGGCGGTTACCCCCTTATACATCTCATAGAATTTGTGGTTCGGTCCAACCGTAGGTTTTTGGGTCTTCCCAACATGAAGTTTGAAGGCCCCAATGCGCTTCCGCGGATCGAACGCCTACTCAGCCTCGGTGCAAATCCAAACGCTCAAGCGAGGGATCATCACACTGCACTTCACGCGGCAGTCGCTGGCTGGCAGGGCCGTGAATCTTCTTTATATGAGCGGGTTGCACAACTTCTAATCGACAATGGCGCTGATGTAAATATACGCGCATGCTCGTGCTTTTGGAGCGGATGGACGACAGAGCGCGAGATGCGGGAGCCTCAGTCACTGTTATGCCACTGCGCATTCAATGGCTCCACGTCCATGGCAAAGCTACTGCTCCAGAATGGTGCCGCTGTGGACGTGAACTTGCAGGCAGGGAAGTATGGCAACGCACTCCAAGCGGCTTCACTTCATGGACACGTCGAAATGATGCAGCTACTCCTTGATCACGGGGCCCAAGTCAATGCCCAAGGCGGCTACTACGGGACGGCACTCAACGCAGCCTGCCAGACTCTCTTCAGTGATCATGCTGTTCCTGCTGCTCGACTGCTACTCGAGCATGGCGCTGACGTGAACATTGGAGGCGGCGAATATGGAACTGCTCTACAAGCTGCATGTGCTCGCAATCCCTCGATAACACAGTTGCTGCTCGACCATGGGGCGGATGTCAACGCCCGAGGCGGCAGATATGGGACTGCACTGCAAGCTGCCTGTGTTTGCAGCCCTACGACGGTGCAGTTGCTGCTTGATCGTGGTGCTGATGTGAATGCCGAAGGCGGCGAATACGGAACTGCACTGCAAGCTGCCTGTGTTGACAACCCCTCGATAGTGCAGTTGCTACTTGATCATGGTGCTGATGTGAATGCTAAAGGCGGCCAATATGGAACCGCTCTACAAGCTGCCTGTGCTCGCAATCCCCCGATAGTACAGTTACTGCTTGATCGTGGTGCCAGTGTGAATGCTGAGGGGGGAGAGTACGGAACTGCTCTACAAGCTGCATTGGAATATTGCGATCTGGACTTGGTTCAACTACTAGTTGATCGCGGTGCTGATGTGAATGCCAATGGCGGGCCATACGGATCTTGTCTGCAGATTGCGTGCGCAAACGGGTTTGTTCTTCAACACGAGGGTGGCATGGACACGATACGCACACTGCTTCAGCGGGGAGCAGATCCTCTGATGTTTAGAGGCCAATACCCTAGTCCAGTCCACTTTGCTGCTGTACATGACTTATCCTTTGAGGAATATGTTTCCCCAGCCATCAAGTCATCTTACCAAGTTGACGCTCTGTTACAGTTGCTATTGGAGCATGGCGCTGAACTCAACCTAGTTGATGACAAGCGAGGCACTGCGCTTCATTATGTGCTTTCTCTAGTGCAGGATTCCAGTCACTCGTACCGTTGGCAGGATGGCTTTGAAACGTGGTGGATAGGGAGGATCCTCTTTCTGCTTGATCATGGTGCGGATGCCAATCTCAACGTGGGTGAGCTTGGATCTCCTCTTCATGTTTCATGTGCGATTCAATACGACTGTGAACCCCTACCGACTTATCAGGGTAATAGAAGAAGGGATCTGGAAGAGAGAATCGACAAGCGGGGCGTCAATATGAATTTAATGACTAAAGGGGTGGAAACTCTCCTTAATAAATGCCATGATATTGATATTAACGCACATGGTGGCATCTTCGGTACAGCTGTCAGGGGCCCGAGGAAGGAAGAGGCATAATAGAGCTACAGAGCTGGCGAATGCCGCCAAAGTCACTGCTTAGAGGCTAGTTATAGCTAGGATTTACTATATAAAGAAGCGTAAATCCCCTTAGTTTTAGAGAAGGTTAAAGATAAATATAGTTATTATATACCTCCTAGCTGCTTTATCCCTTTATAATAACTAAAACCTCTCCTTAACTTTATTACTCTTTTATATATTACTGTTTTTAATAAGTTTATTTCTTTTTAAAAAGTAAAAGATTATTAAAGTAAGAATAATAAAGGCTATTACTTAAAAGTAAGTAAAAAGTAAGTTATATTTTAAAAATATATAGTAAAGCCTTATACTTTATATAATACCCCTTAAGGAAGAATTTACTTTTTAAACTAATATCTTAATTCTTAATACTTAGTATAACCCTTAATTTATTATTTTAAATTCCTTAGCCTTTTTTAAGAGATAATATATCTCTTTAATTAAAAATAAGTTACTTAATTTTATAATTTTTATTATAAAAAAAAATAAAAAAAAAAAGCTTATTTAATATTTAATAAATTTTATTAATTTTTAAAATAAAAAATTTAAAATACTTTTTTTATAAAAAGGGCTTTTTTTTAAGTTATTTATTATAACTCTTAAGAAGAAATTTATAAAAAAGCTAATAAGTTATATAAAAAATTAAAAGCTATACTTTTTAAAACTTATATTTAAAAAAAAAACTTAGGGAGAATACTAAGATTATATTTTTAAACTTAATACTTTATTTATATTTAAAAAAATTATTAATAAAGTATATAAAGTTTTTATAATAAACTTTTATTTTAAAAAAAAAGCTTAATAATATTAAATTAATTATTTTAAAAAAGAACTTTAATAAAATTATAATAATATTACTTATATATAATACCTAAGGTAATATAAAAACTAAGTTAAAAATACTTAATTTTATATTATTAATAAAAAAAAAGTATTAAATACTATATATTAAAAAAAAAGTAAAATTATAAAAAGGTTTATTAAATAATTTAAAAAAGTTAATAATAAAATCCTATATTATATAAAGGATAATTATAAAATCTTAATTTTTTTTTAAAAAATACTTCTAAAAATAAAAAAATATATTTTTTATAAAAAACTTTTTACTATATAATAAAATTTTTATAAAAAATACTTTAAAGTAAAGTTAATTATTAATAATCTTAGTAAAAGGAATAAATAAAAAAAAAAAAATATTATTTATTTTAAAAAAAATAAGCTTACTTTTTATACTTTATATAAAAGAAAAAAAGTTTTAGTTATATTAAAATAATTTTTAAGCTAAATAAAAAATAATATCTTAGTTAATAACCCCTTAGCTATTTTTAAGTAAAAAAAGTATAAATTTTTATTAAGTATTATATATTATAAATATAAAACTTTTAAGTATTATTTTATAAATTATAAAAAGCTAGATTACTTATATTATAAAAATAAAAAGTATATTATAAAATATTATAATAACCCTTAAGTAAATATTCTAATTAACTTAATATAAAGCTTAAACCTTAAACTAATTACCTTAAGGAGGGCTTAGGAAAGTAAGTTTTACTTATTTAAGCTATTATTTATTATATTCCCTATAATAAAAAAAAAAGTATAAATATAAGTAAAAGAAATATAAAAGTTAAAGATTACTATTCTTAATATTAAAAATAATATTAATATATTAAGTAAATACTTAATAAAAAATACCTTAGTAATATTTAATAATAACTTAGTAATTACCTTAGTATATAAAGACTTAAGTAAAATATATAATTATACTCTTTAGCTTTTAAAAATAAAAAATAATTAAAAAGTTAAAAAGTAAGTATTTATAAGCTTTATAATAGTAAAAATACTTAATAATATTATTTTAAGAAGACTATAGTATAATTAAATAAATTTTATTATTATTACTAAAGATAATCTTTTTTAATACTTAATATTAATAAAAACCTTAATAATAATAACTTTTAAGTAGTAAATATATACCTAGGTAAGGGAAGCTTAAGTTAAATTAGTTATTATATATTTTAATATTAGTATTATTATAAACTAAAATACCCCTATAATTTTATTTTAAAAAAAAGCTATAAAGCCTTTACTTATAAAATATATAAATAAAATAAAAGTATTTAACTTAGAATTAATAATAAAGTTAATATTTTTATAAAAACTAATATATATAATAAATCTAAAATTAAAAGTAAAGTTCTTTTAGGGACTTATTTACTCCCTAGTAAAAAAAAAACTAAAAATATTATAAAAATATATTAAGTAAATATTATAATAAGGCTAAATATATTAATTTATAAATTCCTAAGGCACGCTAGTATTATTTATTTTAAAAAAAAGAAATAAATTATACCTCTGCGTAAACTATTATATACTAAATAAAATAATATATAAAAACTATATACTATTACCCTTAATTTATAAAATCTTTAATTAGTTTTAAAATATAAAGATTTACTTTAAGCTAAATATAAAAAATATATATTACTATATAAAAATTTATAAAGAAAATAAAAAAAAAATAGCCTTTAGGTATAAATATAGGCTATATAAGTTTTAGGTAATACTTTTTAAACTAATTAATACCCCTATTACTTTTTAAAGGTATATTAATAAAGCGCTTAAGGGCTTAATAAATTATATTTATATAATTTATTTAAATAATATCTTAATTTATAGTAAAAACCTTATTAAGTATATATAATATATTTAAGAAGTATTAAATAAGCTAGAGTAATATAAAATATTTACTAACCTTAAGAAATATAAATTTAATATAATAAAAGTTTTTTATTTTAGGTTTATAATAACTTTAAATAAGATTAAAATAAAGCAGGAGTATATAAAAGTAATTATTAATTAGCTTATTTTATATATTATTATTAATATTCTTACTTTTATTAATTTTACTAACTTTTATTAAAAGTTTATAAAAACTATAGTAAAATTATAATACCCTTAATTAACTTAATAAAAAAAAAAGCTAAAGGGAATATTATACTAAGAGAATAAAAATTAGTAATATTTAAGAAATTTATTAATATTTTTTAATAAAAACCTATACTTTACTATTATAACCCTAATATATTAATTTATATTAAAATAAATACCTTAAAATATATAATTAATACTATATTATCCTAGCTTATAAATAAAGCCTAATACTCTATTATTTATTTTTTATAAAAGCTTAATAAAGCAGAAGTATATTATTAAACCCTTAATACTAAAATACTTACTATTATAAAGGTATATAAAACTTAAAAATATTATTTTATATATACTTAAAATAAAGTAAAAGTTATTATTAACTATTTAAATTATAATTTCTTTATTAAGAAAAAGAAACTCTTAAGTAAATAAGTATTATAGTTATAAAAGCTAGCCTTATATAATTTTAAAATTATATATAAACTAAGTAAGATTAATTCCGCTAATAAACTATTTTATTAAGTAAACTTATATTAATTATAAAATAAAAAGTAATTATTTCTTAAATATTTTATACTTTTTATAAATAAATTTTATATTAAATTATATTTAAAAAATAAAAAAATATAAAAAAAAAAACCCTACCTTAAATTAATAATATAAAATAACTACTTAAACTTAAGGTTATACTTTAACTTAACCCCTTAAGTTAGGAAGAACTTACTAAAAAATAAGCCCTACCTTTAGTATATAACCTATAGGCTAGCTAGATTTATATAAATAATATATAAAAGTACTATTATAATATTAAAGGAATTACCTAAAACTTTATAAAAAGTATTATTTATTATATAGTAAAGGAATACCTAAGTATAAGAGTTAATAATTAAATATAAAGCCCTAGGGAGGACTTAAGGTAAATAAAGTATAAATAAGAAATATTTTCTTTAATATAAAGCTAGAATTTTTATATTTTATAATATAAAGTAAAAGATATTAATTTTATTTTATAATAATAAAATAGCTAGTTACTTAAGTATTAGTAAAAGCTATATATAAATAACCTAGACTTATTTTTAGTAAAGTATAAAAAAAGATTTAAAAAAATATATTAGTATTTATTATATATATTAAATAATAAAGCCTTATTATTATAAACCTTATAGGGAATTAGTAATATTACTTATACTAATATAGCCCTAGGAGAAGTTTTTAATAGACTTTATTATAAAGCTTTTTAAAATTATAAAATAAAAGAAAATTTATAACTTAATACTTATTATTATTAATAAATTTATAAAATATATATTATATTTTTTATACTTATAGTAAATAATTATAAATAAATTAGTTAATAAGTTTTTTTATTATATTTTTAAACTATATAAAATTCCTAAAGAAATAGTATTAAATTAAAAAAGCCTTTTTACTAATATATTTTAAAAAACCTTTTATTACTTACTAAATTATAAAAAAAAACTTAATATTACTTTTTATTCCTAAATAAATAATTAAATAAAATAATAAAATTAAAATCTTAAATATTATTTTAGGGCCTTTTATAATAAGAATTAACTTAACTAGCTATATAAGCTCCTACTTATAAAATTTATATATAATATAGTAAAATACTTAGTAACTAAGTAAATACTAATATATTTACTACTTAGCTATAAGCTTAACCTTCTCTTTATTAATAATAATAATTTATAATATATAAATAAAAATATTATTAATTAGGTTAATAAAATAGTTAAAGATTAAAAAAATATAGTTATTATTTTATAATACTTTAGTAATTTATATTATAAATAATATAATAAAGGGAGGTAAAGGAAAATATTTAATATAAAAAATTAAGTATTAGTATTAATTAAGAATTTTAAACTTAGGAGACTAAACCGGAAGCTAATACTTAAATATATAAAACTTTATTAAATTAATAAAGTTATTAATATAAGTAGCCTTATTTATTAACTAAGATTTTTAACCTTAGTTAAAATATACTTAGTATTTAATATTATAACCCTTAAGGAATTTAAAAATAAAAATAAAGTTCCTAAGGAGCTAGAGAATAACCCCTTTATACTAAAGGAAATATATAATATTAAGAAAATTATAAAATATAAAAAAAAAAAAAAAGGTTATATTTACTATATAAAATAAAAAGGCTATAGTAAAAAATATAATTCCTAGGTATTAAAGAAAGACTTTATAAATTAGAATTTTATAAAGGAATATAAAAATAATTTTTAATAAGACCTTATAAAGTCCTAAGGTATAAATAATATTTTAGCTATATTAGAAATAGTTTAGATAGTAAAAAGCTTAATATATATAATTTATAGTTATTATATAGCTAAAGTAAGAATTAACTTAAAAAACTTACTTAAATATATAAGATTTATTATAAAAAATAAAATAAAAAAAAACTTATAAACTCCCTAAAGTAGCTAAAATAGTAAAAAGTTTAATAAGTATAAGCTATAATAACAGGGGTATAATATATAAGTACTAGCTTAAAGGGCTTATATAAATATATAAAATCTATAGTAAGAGATAAAATAAAGAAAAATCTATAAGGTTCTTAGAGTAGCTTAAATAGTAAAAAGCTTAGTAAATATAATTTATAAATAGTAATATAGCTAAGGTAAGAACTAGCTTAAAGGATTTACTTAAATATATAAGATTTATAGTAAAAAATAAAGTAAGGAAAAACTTATTTATTATAAAAAATAAAGTAAAAAAAAACTTATAAACTCCCTAAAGTAACTAAAATAGTAAAAACTTAATAAATATAATCTATAAAGGTAATATAACTAAGGGTAAGGTTAGTAGTATAATATATAAGTATTAGCTTAAAGGATTTACTTAGATATATAAGATTTACTTATAAAGCTTACTATAGTAAAAAATAAAGTAAAGAAAAAGTTATAAGGGCCCTAAAGTAGCTTAAATAGTAAAAAGCTTAATAAATATAACCTATAATAGTATATAGTATAATATATAAGTATTAACTTAAAAAACTTACTTAGATATATAAGATTTATTTATAAAGCCTTAGTAGTAAAAGAAAGTAAAAAAAAACTAAGGAAAACCCTAAGTAGGAATATAAATTTTATAAAAAGGGAAAACTTTATAAAAATATAAGAAATTCCTTATTTATATTTATTTACTTTCTACTACTTTTTTTTAATTTCTTTTACTTTTATTTACTTTCTTTAATCTTTTTTACTCTTTTTTAATTTTTTTTACCTTCTTTTACTAAAGCTATTAGTAAATACTATAATTACTAAATATTATATTAAAATACTATAAAAGTAAAGGGGTTATAGGGTATATTTTACTTATTAATATTATTTATAATAGTATTATTAATAATAAGGGTTACTTTAGCTTATAATATATTAACTTAGAAATTAAAATAGTCCTAAGTTATAGTAATAAAAATAATACTTTAAGCTTAGCTAAGTATAAGCTAGGATTATAAAAAAAGTTAGTAAAAGGTAACTTAGTAAAGCTAAAGGAAATAAACTAAAATATAAAATATAAGTATAACTTAAAGATTATATAATAAATTTATAATATTTAGTTAAACTTAGGTATTTATAATTTTATAAATATAGCGTAAATAAAGTTATTATATTACTACTATAGTATAAGTTTAATAAGCAGAAGTTATTAATATAAAACTTAGCTTTACCTTATTATAAGCCTTTTTATAGTTTACTTAAAGTATAATAACGCAGGCCTAGGTATATATTAATATCTACTATATAGCTATTATAAAATTAACTTACTAAGTTAGGGTTATTAAACTTAATTTTATTAATTAAGTCTATATATATAGTCTTATTAATAACTAATATAAGAATATAGGTATTATTATAATTATTATAATAAAAGTATTTATTATTATTATCTAAGAGGGAGTAAGTAAAGCCTTAGTAAAATAAACTTAGGAAATAAAGTTATATACTTAATATATTATAATAATATTTTATTATATTACTTAGTTTTTAATAATTATAATAATATATATAATATTTATAAATATAAGGCTTATATTAAGTTTTAGTAAAAAAAAAAAAGGTTAAAATAAAATATAACTTATTTATTAGCTTTTAATAATATAATAAAGGGAGGCGCGGGCATAGGCGTAGCTATAGCTATAGTTATTATTATAGTACTTAATACTAATTTTTAATAAAGTATAATTAAGAAAAGTATTATAGTAAAATTATTAATAAAGGAGAAAGGATATAATTATAATAATAATAATTAAAGACTTTATAAAAAGAAAAAGGGAAATACCCTTTTTATAATTTAAGTATTATAACTAATAGTTATAAACCTGCCTTATAGAATTATTATTATAAAAAGTAAGTTATTTTATAATAAATAGCTTTTATATAGTTTTTTACTTTTATTTACTTAAAGACTATATTTTTTATTATTATAATACTAAATAAAGGTTTTTTATTTATAACTAAATTTTACTATAGCTTATATAATAAAAAATTAAAGCTAATACTTTAATAATACTTTATAAAAAAGTATAAAAAAAAATTATAAAGAACTATATAAGGGTATACTTTAAAAAAAGAAAAATAGCTTATTAAAGGCCTAAGGAAAAAAAAAGTATAATAAAGCTATAGAGTTAGTAAATATTACTAAAATTACTACTTAAAGGCTAGTTATAGCTAAGATTTACTATATAAAGAAGTATAAATCTCTTTAGTTTTAGAAAAGGTTAAAGATAAATATAATTATTATATACCTCTTAGCTGCTTTATCCCTTTATAACAACTAGAACCTCTCCTTAACTCTATCACTCTCTCGTACGCCGCCGTTTCTGACAACAGCTCTGCAGGCAGCAGCATACTCCGGTCAGGCTAAAACAGTACAGCTCCTATTACGCCGAAAAGATTTTATAATGTGTAATGAACGACATGGGAAGTATGGGAGTGCGCTCAACGCGGCTGTTATCAGAGCCAATTGGGATATTGTTGATGTTCTTCTTGAAGCTGGAGCAAAGCCAGATTGTCATATGCTACAGGAGACTGATGAGGAATTTCTTGCCAAATTCCGAGAAGAGCACGGCCGGGCTGCAGAAGAGAGATACAAAAAGTTCTGGGAGGTGGAAAAAAGGAACTTGTAATTATCCGGGCTAACTTTTTGTTTATTTCCGTTTATGTAATTCTTAATCTCTAATATATATGATTGTAAGTGTAGTAGCCAGTTGGTCAATAAGTGATCACCGTCCGTTTCAAGATGGATTTTTCACTGTAAGTTTGGAAGATACAAATTTTATATCCGCTATAAAAAAATGTTTTTTTTTGGGGGGGGGGGGTTTAGAGGTATTTTGAGTCTTATTTTAGATACATGTTTACATCTATTTTGTATGTGCCGTTGCTTGAAGTTATATATTCAGAATGCTTAATTTGGGCCTAGTTAAACTCACATAGTAGTCCTCATCAAACCTGCCATATCGTAGAACCGATCAATGCCCTTGGCAATAGAGTAAAATTGTAACGTTATCACCAAGTCAATGCCTCATTACCCGGTGAGGAGGAGGCAGAGGAGGGTGGTTTATTCATGGGTTTTAATGAAATAGTAATAGAGTAGAGGGTCTCGTTCTCGCATTAAGAAGTAATGCCCGTGATCATACTTATCATATCGTTGAATTGGTCAAAATTTCTGACTGGAGAGATCATTTAGATTTAGTGGGATATTAACTATGACTTTGATAAGGGGTTCCGGCGGTGGAGTTGCAGACGTGGGCTGGTGATGGGTGAGATTCTACCTCAGCATCTCAAAATGGAAATGACTCTGAGCAGCTGTAATAGAAGTGAAGGAATAAACTACCATTGTGTTTGAGAACCCCCCATCCATAACAGCTAACCTTTCGTTAGTTTCTGACAGTTACATCTTTTTGGGTTGTAGTAGCTTGACAATAGCCTCATGCCCATGACTAGCAGCCATGGATAACGGTGTCTGGCCATCAAAATCCTTTCCATCAGGCTTACTACCATGTTTAAGTAGTAGCTTGACTATATCGATATACCCATGCTTAGCAGCCAGAAAAATAGGTGTCTGGCCACCCCCATCTTTTACATCAAGCTTGCTACCATGTTTGAATAGTAGCTTGACCATATTGAGATCCCCATGCCTAACAGCTATAAAAATAGGTGTCTGGCCATCAAAATCCGTTACATCAAGCTGACTACCATATTCAAGCAGTAGCTCAACCATATCGAAATACCCGTGCTTAGCAGCCAGAAAAATAGGTGTCTGGCCTTTACCATCTGATACATCAAGCTTACCACCACACTCAAGCAGTAGCTTAACCATATCGAGAAACCTATGCTCAGTAGCCAGGAAAATAGGTGTCTGACCTTTACCATCTGATACATCAAGCTTACTACCATACTCAAGCAGTAGCTTAACCATATCGAAATGCCTATGCTCAGTAGCCAGGAAAATTGGTGTCTGACCTTTACCATCCTTTATATTAGGATGGCTACCACGTTCAAGCAGTAGCTTAACCATGTCAAGATGCTTATACCCAACAGCCAGAAAAAGAGGTATATGGCCATTACCATCCTTTATATCAGGATTACTACCACATTCAAGCAGTAGCTTAATCATATCAAGATGCTTATACCTAACAGCTAGAAAAATAGGTATTCGGCCATTAACATCCTGTATATTAGGATTACTGCCACATTCAAGCAGTAGCTTCATCATATCAAGATGCTTTTGCTCAGCAGCTATTAATAATGGTAATTGACCATTATTATCTTTTGCATTGGGATCATTGCCACGTTGGACCAGCAACTTAGCTGTCTTAAGATGCCTGTTCCCAACAGCTAGTGATAATAGTGTCCGGCCATTGTTATCGATTTCGAAAGGATCACTACCATGGTCAAGCAGTAGCGTAGCAATATCAAAATGCCCGTGCATAACAGCTAGTGATAATGGTGTCTGGCCATTATTATCCCTTCCGTTGGGGTCAATATCACAATCAAGCAGAAGCTTTGTTGTCTGGAAATGTCCACCCTCAATTTCCAAGTGGAGCAGATTTGGTTGAAGAGCCATCAATATCTGAGTTAAACGGTCCTCTTCACTGCCTATGGCGTTGGATAGAGTCGCATGTATACATGATCTCATAGCGGTCTCATCAGCATTAACGTGCAGCTTTTTCGGAAGGTTCGATGTAATCCATTGTGAAAGTAAGACACTGGCGTAGGAATTAGGCTTTGCCGAGAGCTTCGTTGTGAAGGTTTCAAATTGAAGTAAGACCTCTTTGTCGCCATCTTCCAGTTGCTCTAGGTGTTTCGTAAGGTTTGTGAGGGCGTATATGAGCAGAGGGTAGCCCAAAAGATGCTCTGCTAATAGTTGTGCTTGTGAAAAGCCGTCTTCAGCGTCTTGTTGTAGGATAGGTGCTGAGAAGGCAATGCAGATGATTCGGCAACAAGTGATTGCAATCTCCACATCTCCGTCAGCTTCAGTAAGGTGATATGGCTCCGCAACTTTTTGCAACAGGAATTCTCGGGCGGTTTGGTGTATTAACTGAACAATTTTGCCCAAAGATGAGTCTCGCACCTACAAACATACTGGTGAGCACAGACATCCAGAGACTGAAGATTGACAATACCAACCTCAACAAGTCCACCACAAGCCGACAATATTCCCCGATATAATTCAATAGGTCTATTGTCTAGGAAATTATAACTGGACAAATCCATCTTTTGCCAAGGAAGAGGTGTTGCCAAGACATCCCAAAGTTCTCCGGCTGAAACGGGCCTCTTAGGGAAGGTGACCCAATAAAATATTCTTCGTCCTCGGTCTTGTTGATACAAGTCTTTTTCGCGATTCGTGCTCAGGGGGAGTATCATTCGCTTGTAAAATCCATGCTCTCCACCGAGCTCCTTTGGCAGTTGTAAAACTATCCGGTTAAGGTCAGCTTTGCTGCTGAGGCCGTTGTCAAGACACGTTTCCATTTCTCTCAGGACCAGTGTTACCCATAAAAAAACTCCAGAAGCTGTTTTTAGAATATAGTCTTTGACAAACTCGAAGGCGTCCTTCTGACAATTTCGCTCAACCTCCATCCGTTCGATCCATTTCTCCACAACTGAGCGTATGTCCTCCTCATTCACATACTGACGCTTGATGTGATGCGAGCATGCTAGACTTAATCGAGAATTGATATCGCTCTCAGGTCGGCTTGCAATCAGCACCTTGATGATACATTTGCTCTTGCGGGCCGCGAGATCAGGCAGAAACCTGAGAATATCAACTCGTTTATCGTTATCAGACTCATCCATTCCATCGACCACAATAACGACTTTCAGGGAGAAATCGATCTCATGTAAAGAACGCAACGCCGATTTGAAATCCTCATAACTCCAATCTTTTTTGCGGCTTCGCAACCTTCCATAACAATTGCGAAGGAGTTTGTAGAGCCGGCTGTTATCACGGAAGATCTGATAAACAATAGATCGAATCATAAGCTCGTGGCTGGTCTCTGTGCTGCCGCCGCGGAAGCTGTAGTAGAACCTTGCTATAATGGTACTCTTGTCTCCAGGGTTGTCGAAGGTCCAAACTTGTTTCCCCGTCGGCGCCTCATTTTGCTGTTCCATGTTGGGACTGTTTTCTCCGTCTTCCAATTTGCTTACTATGAGCTTTGCTAGGGTTGATTTCCCGCTTCCGGGTTTTCCTTCTAGCCAAAGCGCTGAAGCGGTAGGGCTCTCACACCACTCTCTGTATTTCGTGTGGGAGGCCAACCACCTCCCGCCGTCTTCGACGTCTTCCACGCGGCTTTCTCTTGCGTTCCATTCTTCAAAAGCCAACGTTTTCAGGCATTCTGGAAAAATAGTCAGAGACTTCTTTGTTGCTAACATGGGGGACATGCGTACCTCTTCTTTCCTTTTCTCTATCTATAGTCGAATAATGGGTAAGCTTGTTCATTATATCGTCTATCGTTTCCGAAGAAATCAGTACCTTTATTGGATTGTCTGGGCCCATCGGCCACTCCGTCCTCCCTGCGGTCAACCCGTGAGATTTGGCCCTTTGCTGTGTAGAGCCTGCGTTAAGTTCGTCCTCTAGTCTCCGGAAGTTTTGCAGAAAAGACGACGTCATATGTCTATCAAGTTTGTCAATGCCGTCAATAATAAATATAGTTTCTGTATCAACCGCTATGATGGAGCACCTCAATAGCTCCCATGTAGCTTTCAATTGAGCATGGGGCTCGAATTTGGAAAGTGGAACTTTATGTCGCACCATCATCGCACGAGCGCTGTCTTTCTCAAGTAGTTGAAACGCAAGGGAGGCCACCATCCCCAGCTCAGAGTCCCCGTGGGAGCAAAAGATGGAGACGATTTCCCACTTCCAGTATTCGGAACGAAGGCTCTTGAGGACATAAGACATGGCGACTGTTTTCCCATCCCCGTGTTCTCCATGAATTAATAACTTTGAAGAGCTTGTTCGCCTCCATGTGTGGTATTCCGAGCTTTCCAAGAGCCATTCCAAAGACTCTTCAGTATCAGATGAATTGCAAATTTGTTCAATCGAGTCCGGACAATCTGATTTTGAGAACTCTACTTTGAGAATCTTCCGCAGCTGCTCTGTGTACTGCATGTTGGTCGAATCCTCGTCTATCTTGATGCTAATCGAATCGACTATCCCGCTGGCTTCAATTAGAAAGTCATTCGTTCGTATCTCTGTAGATTTAATGCGTTACAGTACCATCGACAGCGTCATCGCCAATCCAACGCTTCAATCTGTTTAAAACTCTCCCATATCCCACATCAGATGCTGCGCTGAATTTTGTCATGTCCATGTGATTCGCTGGAATTGTTTCAAAATTGTAGCCGGGTATTTTTGCTGAATCGGGTTCCACGACACGCTGCATACGTCAACATATTGTTTTTTGGTAGATCGAGTAGGATGGGCTTACGCGTTTCAGAAAATCCACAGGTTGTTCTTCAATGAAGGCATGAAGCTCGATCGGCTTGCTGTTCTGGCTACTCTGGCGTCTTCTGATTATGATATGGAATTCGTCTCTGATGTTTGCCAAAATCTCAGAGTTCCTCCTGAGAACACCCAAGAGTTTCTTATTTGGCTTTTTGACGAGACTGACAACGTTTGCCACGGCCGTTGCGAACCTTTCCAAGTCTGCTCCAGCATGCGGAGTTCCGAGAAAAGCAATCCCGCGCGTTGAAGAAAGAACGTCGCCTTGACCTTCGTCGTTGGGATTATTGCAGATTAAGAGAGCATCCTGGATTACCAGACCCCCAAGGCTATGCACGACGAAAATGATGGGTCGTCCGGCGGTGCCTATTCGAAGAGCGCTGAGATCATTAATAAGTGTCTTTGCATGTTCCCGAACCGTGTTTTGACCAGCAACGCGAGTTAGATGGAGGATATCGGCATCGTAGCCGTATGTTATGATTCTAGCCGTCGGGAGGTCCTTTGGAAGAAGCGATTTTGGCCAGGGTTCAGCTTCGCCTTTAGCTGTCCAAGTTTTCTCTCTATGACCAGTAAGACCGTGAAGGAAAATCACGCTCAATTGTGTGTCAGCGCGAATCAACAGCGCAGCCTTTCCACATTGATTACTTACTCAACTTTCGCGTTCTCAACAGATGTCAGGACATTGGGCCCTAGAGCCACAACCTTGGACGTCGGCTGGCTAGGCTTGCTAGAGGAGCCACCCATGACGGAAGATTTGAAGAACTAACAAATTTCTTCGTGATTTGTTGTTGGTGTTAATGGAGTCTTTAAAGTGGCAGGAGAGTTGAGCTTGGTGTATTGCTAACTTGCTCTGACTTTATGGATGAGCTGAATCCTCCAACCGATATACTCGAAAATCCCATATGCAGCGACACGTTGCGGATTTCGATTGGATATACATGCAAGCACATGCATGCGTGGCTTTCAACGGCATTGGCTGAGCCTTGCACCCCCTTGCGCCCCCTTGCACGGCTGAATTTGATGTGGGTGGTAACCGTGGTATTGATCATGTCGTTTCTGTACAAGTACGCCTAGACTCAACTGTACTGGCTTGTTACTTTTGGACCGAAAAAAAAAGAAACTTCACACAACACTGTATCGCGCTGAATATTTGCATTACATGTAAACGCTCGCGGTCGCGCAGCAGGGATTGTTTGGGCACATGTGTAGAGAGAGTCAGGCACACGTATGTACCTGAAAGGACGGGGCGAGTTAGGCATATTCATTGGTACACATGCAGTCGATAGCCTCGCCATTCAATATATCAGGCAGCAGGTCTTTGCTATGTATGTAATCCAAAGTCACACTCCGTGAACGTCTTCGGTTTCTGAGCTTTTCCATTGATGCGTGTGATTCCTCTAAACCTCACCACTCGTCCGATATCCGGCAAAGGGCTAGACTGTGATCTACACCATGAGATTTGCCAGACAAAAACTACAATGGCGGCACTTGGGGTCTGTTCTCTCAATCCTGGAATGCAGAATACTTGGATTGCCTTCTCGTGCTGGTAAATATCTAGGTAAGCATAATATGGCTATTTCGCATGTCCCATCCATATTTAATACTTTGCTAAAGCGAGGATTCAACTACTCTATATTCTTAGAGGCTTGTTTGTTCTCTATATTTTAAGTCACTATGAAATTGAAGTTGATGTATTGCAACTGGGCACCTTCTAGAGTGCTTATATAGATAGGGGATATATACATCGGTTTATCCCCAGCCCATCTCCAACATCTTCTTCCACCTCACTTCCTATAGCAGACGCTGTTTCTTGGGAGAATACTTGTTATTGTTTACCAAAACATGAGAATTCTTAGGGTTATGGTATATCTGGTGGCTTCGTAGTCATTGGCAACCTAGGATGATTTCAAAGCTTGAGGCATGCATCGCCCTAGTAGCATACATAAGCCACTCGACAGTTTACTTTGTGATAAGAATCGTAACTTGATACCCGAGTCGTTTTGGTATTTATCAATGTACGCGATCCAGCATTTTTCGTCTTTTTACTTTTTAAAAGCAACTCTATTTACTGGACTAACGACAAAGATCCCCGGAAACAAAGTAAAACAAAAGGAATGCGATAAGACATTATTCGCTCTCGCAGCTTCATTTCCTCGGTATTTGACCATCAAATCCTCTCATACATATATGATACTGGATGAACTACTGAATTGTTCCCAAAATAATGACTAAATATCCTACATTCTACCTGCGATAGTGATTATTGAAAGTGCGGGTGAAATGAGAATGTTGGCAATCACCAAGAACAGCATCTTTGACTGAAAGGGCAAATACTCTAGCTCCAGAGCTACTGAAGATAGTCTCATAATGTACAAGACGCACCTGCGACTCATGAATCTGTCTATCATACGTATTGAACTTGGAGAATATTGTGTTTCTTCTTGTGTAGCTATTGTTTCTTTTGGTCTATAGGCGGGTATGTCCTGCATATCGTAGCATAGCGTATACCTCTTGGGACAAATAAATAGTCCAAGGATACTTACTAGTGTATGAGCGAGAGAATTGTAACTTGCGTATATGAAATCCAATCTGTGATAAGAGTACTCGCCGCAGATTAGCTTTCGGCGCTGCTCATTATCACCACCATCAAGCCACTATCTTCGAAGTGAGTCATTACGATATCGTACTCGAAGCCAAAACATTTGTGGAGTCTGCTGGAAGAATGGCGTTTTTTTTTCCTGAACAAGGTTTAACATAAAGGAATTCCTTCTTCCCGAGGTTTTCGTTTTCTTTTTTTCCTCCTACACAAACACATTCAAGCACATCTCCAAGCACTCAGCTCCAAGCACTCAGCTCCAAGCACTCAGCTCCAAGCACTCAGCTCCAAGCACTCAGCTCCAAGCACTCAGCTCCAAGCACTCAGCTTCAAGCACTCAGCTTCAAGCACTCAGCTTCAAGCACTCAGCTTCAAGCACTTAAATTCAAGCACTCAAGTCTAAGAAACACTCTTAACTTCTATACTCTTACACTCTTCTACTCTTCTACTCTTTACTCTTTAACACTCTACTTTTCAATACTCTACTCTTCTACTCCTCTACCCTTCTATTTTTCTACTCATCTTCTCTTCTTCTCTTACACCCCCACACTCTCTAAATATCAACTCAGATATTTACTCAATCACTATCAGACATCAAGTCAGATACAACCAGACACCCTTTCTACAAAACAAACAAACAAACACCATCACAATGGGTTGCTGTTTTTCTGCCCCCAAGACTATCCCATCTGCTGGATTCAAGTCCATCCCATACACCGCAACTATTCCTGGGCCCAAGCCCGTCTACTACAATCCTCACAATGGTCACACGCACCGCAACTTTTCATCAGCTACTCATGAGGAAAATGAAGGCGACTACAGTCAGACATGCCAATGCACAAGATGTGTGGACAGACGAGCCAAATGCGTCAAGTGGTTAAATCGGAAAATGTGAGGATTTGGATTTGTTTAATGTTAAGCGTTTGGAATTGTTAAGCGTTGGAATTGTTAAGCGTTGGAATTGTTAAGCGTTGGAATTGTTAAGCGTTGGAATTGTTAAGCGTTGGAATTGTTAAGCGTTGGAATTGTTAAGCGTTGGAATTGTTAAGCGTTTGGAGATTTTGGTCGTTTGGAGGCTTTGGTCATTTTGAGAAGTTCACTGTACTAATACATTTTTATACCCGTCAATCAAATTTCAATTTCAATCCCACTGATACAGTCTCATCTAAATGATATTGAATGAAATTTGCCCTGTAGAACGATCTCAAGTATCAACATCGTGTCCATCTCGGCACGGAGTATCATGTTTGTGTACAGGCGCGTAAACAGAATAATTTTTTTTTTAATATTGCCTAGACAACGATATGTTGATGATGACGTGTCCTGTTCATTGGATATTTTACTTTGACTAAGTGGAGGTTTACGTGTATTTTCAGAGATACTCAAACTTTGATGTGGGGATTCATGTTGGTATGTCTTTGATGATGAGTTTGCAGATAAGACCGATGCGTGGCGCAACAGCATCGTCCTCTTTCGTCTATTTATCCGAACAAAGTTTGGGACAGATTGCTCGATATCATATGCAATTAGTCATGCTTTCTTTCCAGCATCTCGTAATACTTGTTGATGAAATTAGCCACAGTCTTCGAGTCCCGTTTGATACGGTGTATGTTGTTATTTGGTCGTTTTGATGGGTCACTTTTCCCGTCTTATGGCGATCCCCCAGACATACTAATTAGATACGGCAAATGCCAACCGTTATAACGATTTCCTTGCAGCAAATCTTCTTGTTGAGCATCTTGCTGGCAATGTTGATGGTCTCGGGTGTACCTATACTAGACTGGAGTGGGTTTGTCTGCCATATGTTGTCTAACACACACAGACTGGCCAGGGTTTAGTAATAGCAGCGCACTAGTTCTTATACAAAACCAGAATGAAGCGGTACATTAGTCTAGAGAGGGTATAGCCATGATGGGTTGTTTTCTACGTAGTTATTGGTTATGTGTGCTGTAGAGTTGGTGGGGCGGGACATAAGAGGATGTGGCTACTCCGTAGAGGCAGTCGACGTTCAATTGTATAGAACAGACAAAGCAAATGGGCTTTACTCTATTGAAGGCACCTTGAACAAAGAGAAGATCAGACAAGTTACAGATGAAGATCTCGGATCTCGGCCACCTGGACTTGGATCTTGCGTGCGCATTGTCCGGCGAATCAATGCGTAAAAGTGACAACCCCTGTGAGAGCAGTGTTTTAGTGGCAATGATAACACACAATAAATCCTCCCGTACCTGATTTGGAGCCACGTCTTTATTGGCCCATTGAGTCTAGTAGAAGTGGACACTTGCCGCGGTTTGGGGTCGTATTGTAGCATAAGATGGGCTAGTATAGACCCGTCTCACTGCTTTTTGCATCGGTGCTTTTCGTCGTCATCTTCGGGCTTCTCAAGACACGACGCCGACTCGGGTTCACAATCTCGTCCCCCCTAAAACCTTGAACTGTGTTGTTTCTCTCTCAAGACTCTAATATGATACGTGATTTCTGAATTGCTGGGTATAGAAGGAGACGTCTGGATAGCGGCCATGAATTTCATCAAGAGGATTGGATATGCGGTGCTTCTGGCACTCTACGTGGGCGTGTATCTACGAGTGAGTTTCTTGATGGCGGGACACTACACTGAGATGACTTGTTGCTGACCGGTTTTTTTGCAAAGGTGATGCATTGGAAGAGGCAACCGATACTACGGGGCGTAAGAGACGTTGATGAGGACGAGAATGAGAGCGAGTTTCGCTGAGACGGAAGACCGGAAGTCATGGCAAACTGCTGCAAAACTACACAAACACTGCTGCTATTGAAGAGAAGCAAATGCGGAAGATGAATCTAATACTGCGCTGTCTATCTATTCTCGTATCAATTCTCACCACGCCGTCGATCCACCATCAACCCGCAAATCCGCGCCCGTAACATATGAACTCGCGTCCGCCAGCAGGAAGATGAGGGCGCCGCGATACTCGTCGGGGGTGGAGATTCGCTTGAGCATTGCTTCTTGCTGCCACACCGAGGTCCATTCTTTTCGGGTGAGGAACTGCTGCGTCATGGGCGTTTCGATGACGCCGGGGCTGATGGAGTTGACGCGGATGGTTGGGCTTGGAGATGAAGTTGGAGATGAGGAACCCCATTCGCCGGCGAGGGAGCGGACGAGTTGATGGACGCCTGCTTTGGAGGCGGAGTAGATTGCTGTTGGAGTGGCCTGGGGAAACAAGACGAATCAGTATGAAGGTTTTTTTTTTCCGAGTTCTCGAGAATGTACATCATCTAAGAAGAAGAGAAAGGCAATGAATTCAACTCACCTTGTTGGAAATGTACCCGCTCATGCTCGCCACAAACACAAAGCTCGCTCCCAGACTCTTTCCCTCGTGATACTGCTTCGTCACAACCTTTGCCGCCGCCTGCGCAACGTACAAACTACCAGCGAGATTGACGTCCAGTGTACGTCTTGTTTGATCCTCGGGGTAAGCGATGGAGTCGCCCACGGTTCCAATACCGGCACAATTGACCAGACCGCGGACGGGATATCGGGCTTGAGCGGCCGCTAATTCGAAGACGCTGGCGGTACTAGATTGGGAGGAGATGTCGCAAGCATGGTAGGTGAGGGTGCGAGAGAGAGATTTTGCAAGGGATTGGAGGGGTTCTATGTATTTTGTGTAAGTAAAGGGCAGTTTCCTTTGTTTTTGGCGTTTGATGGTCTTGCGTACCCCATGTTGTTGGCGGAACATCGCCGTAATCAATGGCTATGACATCGCCGCCGGACTCGAGGATGGCTCTGGTGAGTTGCGAACCCAGACCGCCGGTCGCGCCAGTGACTGACGATTTAGATTAACATTATTGTTGTGGACTTGGGTGATGTTGGACAAGACCTGCCTATAATTGTTCTGTCGTGTAGGGAGAAGAGATTCGGGGTGCTGGTGTTGACGAGGGTTTGATCTGTGCCCGACTCTGTAGAACCCATGATGGCGTGTATGCTTATGTTTGGCTTGATCTCTTGAGTAATTCGTCAATGGAGTGTCATTTGATTCAAATGTGACATCAGCCGCCGTTATTATACTCCCACAATAGATTATCGTGATCATCGCTGCTCTATCCTTACACGAAACACACACAAATCGGGCCCATCTATCGGCCTCATTCCGGGCGGCGGCCCCAGTTGCCGCCGACCACCTCAAGTTCGCATTCTAGCAAGAGGATCTATGCCAGGCAACCATATGACAAATAGTCGATTTGTAAGAGAATACCGCATACAGTCAACTGCGTTGTCAAGTGATCCACCTAATGTGAGTCTGAACCGAAAGAAGTTGGTCATTACAAAGCATGGACATCCCATTTAGTCGAAGAAACATGTGGATATTGAAGTCACCAAAGACAGTACGAAGAATAGTTGTAAATCTTTCCAGACTTCGTGCCTATTCGTGTAAGTTGCTCTCACGCCGCTCAAGTGCAGAGTGGAACATACAGTGCATAGTTCAACTAAACATGTCACACCACAACTACTATATCCATTCTCCTAGTCCCAATCTATTCTTCCGAAAACCCAAACAAGACAGATTACCAAGACAAATTGCAAATATTGATCCAGTTTTAGTCGAGAACCCTCTCAGCTCTTACACAATAAAACCCGGCGGAGCGGCGGCCCGCCACAACCCACCAACAATTTCTTACGCTGATAATGCAGCGGAAGGGCGGCCCGCCGGTATTAGTCACGAGGCTGATGTGTGCCCACTCAATTTAAACTTGGGAGCTGGAGGCAACGAATTCAGCAGGCGAGCCGAGGTGGGGGAACACGAGAGTCACGATGCGGTAGTTCGTGTCGGTTCGTTCTGGAGCTGATTTTCCATGTTGGTTTAACCAGTGGTGGTATCATCGTCAAGTTTGCCCAATTGAGTAAAATAATGTAGCCCAATTGAGTAAAATAATGTAAAGGAATGCGAATAAACAAGAGCATATATAACGCTACGATACCTACTCCTATTTCCTCTCACCATCTTTACACACCGTCACAGCCTCACTTACACCAGCAATTCCATCTTATACCAAAAACCCATCGTATCTACACAGCGTTAATCAACATCCAACTCACCAGCCATGGCTCGCTCCATGCTCCATCGCCTCGAAGACCTCTGCAACGTCGACGTCGACAGCACTGATACGGAGCTCATCAAGAGCATCCCCTTTACACCTCACAACCGTACATCTTTTTCCCTTATTCTCAACCTTCATCACAACAAGACAAACAAAAGACTAACATCACAATTCCTCGCCATCAGAAACATCCAACCAAGCCATCATCACAACCGCACTCCTAGCCGATGAACCACTACTCAAAGACCTCGTCAGACAATACGGCTCCCAGGGATGGGAACGAGTCTACGACCAAGCCGTAAGTCCAACATTCTACCTCATCACACATTCCCTCCCCCCCTTTGAAACAAAACAAACTCACAAAAATCAAAAACCAAAACCAGGCCATCTCCCTCACAGCCCGCAACGTCCCCCTCCTCTCCGGCCGCGTCCTCATCCAAACCTCCCTCCGCCACATCTCCTCCTCCTCCGCCACCATCGCCCACGCCCGCGCCCTCGCCTCCCTCTACCAGCAGGCCGGCGTCTCCCGCGACCGCTTCGCCATCAAGATCCCCTTCTCCGGCCCCGCCGCCGCCGCCGCCAAGGTCCTCAACCAGGAGGGCATCCGCACCCTCGCCACCAGCGTCTTTTCGCTCGAGCAGGGGATTGCGGCGAGCCAGAGCGGGTGTCTCTTCATTAGCCCTTATTACAACGGTACGTCTATACAAAATCTCACTGGAAATTGTATCTTCTTGTAAGTCATGATACGGACACTGACAACTGATCGAATGGAAAAGAAATCGCCGCGCATCTAGACTCTTCTCTGCGTCTCGCTTTCGAAGATCCCGCTCTCGAGGTATATTCACATTCCCCCCAAGTAAAAAGCAATAGGTGTTGTCAAGACATTCTAATAGTCCAAATAGCACCCCATGTCCCCTCGTGTCATCCACATCCTCGAGGCCTTCGCCAAACAATACCGAGAAACCGGCAAAGAACAACCTATCATGATCATTGCAAGGTAACTTCCCACCACCACCACCACCAAAAACAAAAACAAAAAAAGGAATTGTACACTAAAATACAAGCCTCCCCTTTGACCAAAACAGCCACTTCACTCCCGCCGAAATCATGGCCATGGCCGAGCTCGGCTGCCCCCACGTCACCATCCCGCCGCACCTCATCAAAACTCTCCTCGAAACCCCCGACCAACAGCCTCCCCTCACGACCAAGAAGCCCAAGAGCGGCTATGCCGAATTCGCTACCGTGCAGCGACTCACAAAGCTGTCCACCATCGACCCCTTTGCTCGTCCGGACTGGGACGGCAAGCTGGCGGATATGCAGACCGATTACGTTGCCAACGACGGCGAGAAGCTCGATGAGGCAATCAGAAACGACCCCATCACGGCGAAGAGGTTGAAGGATGTCGAGATATTCTTCATCGACATGGAGAACAAGGCGAAAGAGGCCATTGAGAAAGAGATTGCCGCACAAGGTTTGTAGATACCACACATAGATAGCTGACCACCATAGAATTACATGATAAATAAACACAATTTCAACATCTCATAGTCGCGTTGCATTCGTTTGTAACACGGTATCGTCGTTGTTAAAATCTCCGCCGATCATCGCGAAGACGAAGCTTTCTCGCAACTGAATTGGCAATCTCTAGCGCATGTTCGATGCTCGATCCCGGTCGTGCCCAAGGTTCAAGAGCCTCCACAACCATCTGGTGGTTCGAATCAATATCCTCCGCGAGATGGCCGAGATGTGGCGAGTTTGCAGCCAGGGCAAGCACCAAGAAACAGTTGAGAGTGCTAAACAGAACCCCATCAGTCTTCATCATATCCAACAGCTCCCCCTTCAGCTTCATGCATCAAGTTCAAAGACTTACAACTGCAGTGAGCTATACGCGTAAGGCGTCCTCTCCGAAAGCAGATATATCGCCCCGTGGAGGAAAGCTCGACACGCTGCCAGGCATACCTTGCACTGAGCCACTACTGCCGAGGGCACTTCCACCTCACCCTTTTCATACTGCGACGACGTGGCATGGATCACAAATGGCCTGAAGATGCTTTGCTTCGCGGACCAGTACCGCAGACGCAATATGCACGCCTGTCTATTTCCTGGGGCGCGATCAAACAAGTCGGGTTTGATGTCGACCGGCAGGCCTTCGTACCATCTGTCGAGCTGAGAATTAAGTTCGCTGCACACCCGCAGGAGAGATGCATCCGGCTGCAGCGAAGACTGCTGGGAAGAGGCGAGCGAGTCGAGAGCGCGGCCCGCGTATATCGTAAGGCTGTCCGTAAAGTAAATGGCGTGATGCATGCGGTTGAGAAGAGACCGGGCTGATATCTCGGCCAGGACGCAAAGGTGCTCGAGCTTCGGGTTGGTGCCGTAGTTGGGGAAGGGCATGCGATCAACAAGGACATCGATGCCGCTCCTTGGCTGGTGAAACTCGGCAATCATATCACTGGGTTGGCATTTTCGTTAAAATCAGGTAACCTCAACACACAACACGCGTAGATGTCTCCCCCTTGAGTGTTTTTCACATCATTGGCCTCACCTTTCAATGATAAAAGATATCCAGCTAAGCCGGGTCAATTCCTGAATCTCAGCCTGGCCCGACAAGATGTCCTTGCACCTGTTATCCGTCAGCGACCACCCTCACCACACCAAATCGCAAAATACTTGCCGAATCAAGAGCTGCTGAATGCTTGTGGACGCCATATATATCAGCCTCCACGCCGTCAACGGCTGCACCACATATGTAAAGTACAGCGCACACAAGATCAGCCCTTGCGTCAGCTGAATATTGCCGCTAAACGAGAGGGTCCACGCCGGCACCAGGATCCGGAGTGCCCTTTGCATGCAAGCATCGCCAGTATTCCCATTCTCCCCGTGATCAATTGCGTCCGAAGCCGTTGCGCCAAGGGCCAGAACCGCGAGGATCACGCCCGACCTGACGTCGGAGCCCAATCCCTCTCTCATGGTGGCTTCGTAGTTTGCGAGAAGATGGTCGCGGTCAAAGATGGGATGGCAAGCGTGCACCAGGGCAAGAAAGCTACTGAGATAATCATCCGTGACTGTCCTGTCAATTTGTTTCTCTTCACCTTGCAGTCCTGGCGCAGTCATAAAATCCATCGCCGCAGATGGTGATCGGCTGTCCTCGACCCGGAAGATGAAGTCCTCGGGATAATCACCCACCAAGGGACGCATCTGCGGGAGCGTCAATAGACTGCTCGTGCTCGTCTGATGCCCTAGCGGTATGGTAATGGGAGGTACATCATCACCGCCATCACCATTCACCCCACGCCTCGACGAGTCGCCTCCTTCGCGCGTGGTGAGCGCCCAGGTAGAATGCGGCATTGATGCTTCTCGTGAAGGAGATGGCAGACTCTCATTGGTTTCGGTCTTGTCAGTTTGTCGATAAAGGTCGGGCAGCGGGTGCGGCGTCATAGAGGCTGATAAATCTCCACGATGCCGCGGCTGCTTCTCCTGCTGCAGTGTCCTCAGCGCCTCGGCGTGCTCCCCAAGCAACATCTCGATGCTTTCCAGGCGCTGAAGCAACGCATCCGATGCCATACTTCCATTCCGTTGGTCCAGCCCGTCCAACTGTGTTTGTACAGCAGTGTTTCTATCTCCAAAGGTCCATCAGAATACGCAAAAACAAAACAATACTTCACTTCACTTCACCATGCACCTCTTTTTTTCACATTCACACGTACCTCGGAGGAGCAGCCTCTGTGTACACACACTCCAATCCTCTCTGCCTACAGCCCGAACATCGCGGCGTCACACCATCGCAGCGTCTCTTCCTGCTCTGGCGTCAGTCCACGCGAACAAAATCCCAGCATAGGGAGGCCGTCGAGTCTGAACCTACCGCTGCCGACAGTGCTTGCAGGCCACCATGGCCCTGAGTTTACCGGCACTCATAGTGAGCGGTATCAATCAGGCTGTGGCCAGTTCCTGTGATGTTTCCTTTGTATCAATTGCTGGGAGAAAAAAGTTGAAGTCGCGAACCTTTAACTCGGCATCATGTCCAGGCGGAAGGGAAGAGCCGACTGGCCAATTGAAATGAAGAGAGCAGATCGCAAGCACAGTCCAGCAAAGTCTACTGTACAGGCAATGTCGGCGTCGTGCCGGGACAGGTCCAGGTACTCTGTACTTGGAGATGCACAGTGCTTTCTGACTCAGCAACTATCTTAGCAAACCAACCTCTCGCCACAAGAAGATGAAGCTCCTCATTCATAATAATAGACTTGATCAAACACTCAACAAGACTTCAATAATTGTTGAATTTCTAGCTTCAAAATCCGTCGCCCTTGCTCATCCACTGAACCAAAAGTCCCGTCCATGGCCCATTTCTAGCGCCTTTGGGTTCGCATTTATACAAATCTCTAAACGCCTCGTTTCGTTTCCTCGAAAGAGTGGGCTTTGCTCTTCGTTTCAGTCATCTCGTTCCTATCAGATCAACATAGGGGTATAACTCGTCCCATTCCTTCCCAGAGGTAGAAAAAAAAATAACAGCAGAATGAAACCAAAAAAAAAAAGTCAAAAGTGAAAAAAAAAAAAAAGACCAACATGCTTGTGTAGCAGTTCCCGCCATGTGAATGCTCCCTCCCCCCTTTAACTCCACTATGAATGACTCCAGCGCCGAGTGCCTTTCAGTCTTGCACCCCGGCGAAGATGAGAAAAAAAAACAAGAAAAATGCCAAAGCCGAAAACACAAGTCGCGCCATTTTCTATCAGTCAAAGGTACCCATGCGCGGTCCAAAATATTCTCCTGGCGCAAGGTGCTTCAGCGTGCACCCCTTGCCCTCGCAGCCCATATCAGATGCCATGTTCCCCCACCAGTGGAATTGTACGTCGGTGTATTGCAAGGCAAAGAAAATGATGATGCCTGAGATGGCGATGCCGCAAGACCAGGCTGCTGAGAGAACAAAGTTGTACTGGGGCGGGGGGAATCAGTCAGCATGAGTTGGAGAGTTGTCAAAGGGAGTTTTGAGGGAAATCGCTTACCTTGGACCAAAAGGACACAAACCGAGTCTTAAGATAGACCCAGGAAATCCACGCAATCGGGACAGATGGCCAGACGTACGACATGTTGTACGGTGCCCATACGATGCCGCCGTACATGATGGCCACTGGATGGATCTGTCGAGTCCAGGTCCACTTGGGGAACCTTTTGTTGAGCCCCCAGAAGAAGACGACGACGAGGATGCCCAGGGGGAAGCCGACCAGAATCTCGGTATACTGTCCAGAATGGCCAAAAATCTTTTGCGGTCCAACGGTTCCCCACAGGACGGAGGCGGTGAAGAAGGTGTTGACGCCTGGGCAGGTGAGCTTGAATTGCGCATCGGGAGTGCAGACGCCGTTGATGCTCTTCATCTGGAAATTGAGAACGCCGGTGCAGATGACGGTGCTGATGAACGTGGCAATGATTTGGGCGATGAAGGTCTGGCGAGGCGGGATTTTGACGTAATGGGCGAGCTTGAGATCGTTACAGAACCACACGGCGTGTGCGCAGGTGACGTAGCCAAAGGACTTGAAGTAGTTCATGGCCAGCGCATTGCCATCGACGAAAGATCCGCCAATGAACTCGGCCAGCACGTTGAGGGTGACCTCAATGCCGGTCATGGCCTTGATAATGCCCACGGGAATGACAAAGATGATGCAGAGTGCCAGGCCATAGAACACAACGCCGGGAGACGTGTTTGTATTCCACCCGGCGATGCCCGCAACGCCCAGGGCAATAGCAATCACGAGGCAGATCAAGTACCACCACTCCGGGACCTCGGGATACGCCTTCATCAGCCGGTTGTGAACGTCGAGGACTTTCTCGTCCTTGATCGGGTTCTTCTTCTTGCGGAAGCTGGCGAAAAGAGACTTGAACCCCATGATGATTTCGTGACGGTGGTAGAGCACAGCATAAGTCAAGGTCGATGTGTAGATGGCGAAGAAGAACATGTAAATGACAATGTTGCCGGCGCTCAAGAAGGGTGGCGAGTATGCCTTGTACTCTTCGGCGTGGAACAGTCCCCGGTCGTCGACGGCTCGGCTAATGTTGTAGAGCTTGCCAAAGTGGTCATATACGCGGTTGCTGTTGATAGGGAGGTAGCCGGTGTCGTAGACATTGCTGTACCAGAAGGCGAGGACCACCCAGAAGGAGACGAAGACGCCGAAGAAACGGTTGAGCGTGCTGTAGAAGGGGACCATGAGAGGGTCGGCCGAGTCCCAAAGCAAAACGTTCCAGTCAAAGGTCGGGAACGGGTTGACGCCCAGGCCATGGTTGATGCCGGTGATGACGTTGAGGTCGCGGTTGTGGGGGGCGATCCAGGTCAGCCAGTTGAACCTGGACAAGGCAGTGAAGATATAGTTGGGGAACCAAAACCAGACAAACATGGCGCCAAACATGAGGTAGAAGAACTTGATGCGGGAAATCTTCCACTTCCTGCCAAAGGGGCCTTCGACCGGGGCATTGGATTCGTTGTGAAAGGCCTTGTTGAGGGCAATGGTGACAAGAGAAGCCGGCCACACGCAGTACGACGGATAGACGAGAAAGCGGCGGCAGATGCCCGCCATGCCGTAGCCAATAAAGTTTGTGGCCAGGGCAATGAGGAGCTGGTAGGCAACGTGGGATGCGTACGGCTGATTAAAGTACTGGGGCAAATACTGCACCCAGATGATGTTGTTGGTGTAGGGCGTGTTGTAAGCCACGTTGGCCATGATGGTGATGAGCATGTGCTCCTTCTTGGAGAAAGGGCCCGGGTTGAGAGAGTGATATGTGCCGAAGAGGGTGAAGCCGACATCCGGCAGCCAGGTTTCGAACGCCTTGCCCACGGGGTAGGACAGCAGCTGGGCAACATTGGCCATGACGCGGATGGCGGGCTGTCGAATGTCGAACAATTGGTTGATGAAGGCCAGCAGGCAGCTGAAGGCCAGTCCAATGACCCAGCTGCGGATGGTCGAGCAGGGCGTTGTGGGATCGTCCTTGTTGCTGACCACTGCACGAACTTCGGCGTAGGGGCTGTTGCTGGTGACGAGGGCGGCTTCCAGCTTCATCTCCTGGATCAGGTGCTGGTGCTTCTCGGGATTGGAAAAGACAGACTCATTTTCGAGAAAGGCCTTGATCTTTTGGATGATGATGGAGGGAAAGTTGTGGTCTTTTTCGTGGACGCGAAAGACTCGAGTCATGATGTCGCGGACCTCTTGGAGCGTATATCGGGAGGCGAGCTCCTGGGCCTCGAGCAAATCATCTTCGGTAACGTTGAGGTCGTGCTCGGTGGTGTTTTGCGGAGAATAGTAGTCGCGATCGTCTTCGTCGTAGGAAAAGGGCTCCTGCGAAAGGGGGCGGGCGGCGAAGAGCCCAAACAGTCAGTTGTGCCAGTTCATTGAGGAAGAGCCGATGACGAGAAATGGCAGATTTTGAAACAAGAGGAAACGAAGAGAGAAAGAAAGGACAGGAGGGAGGGGAGAAGGCAGCGAGAGACTGTTGAAGAGCAAGACGGAGGACGCAAAGGCAGGCTCAGGTAAACGAAGGGTGTCGTCGCCGGCCCATCCAATGGCTTTTTTTTTCTTTTCATCTCTTCCAAACATAAACCCCGGTGGCGATGCTTCATGTTGCTCCCAGTACAGATGCGACACCGCCCGCGCAGCAACATTCCCAGCGCAAAAAACAGAGGCGAACGGAATTGCCTCGACTGTGGCGTCCTTACCGAAACAATGTCCTTGATATTGTCGTCGACGATGGACGGACGAGACGAATTGGGCGTCATCTCGGCCACCCCGCCAGTGGCAGCGGCCTTCTCGTCGTCGCTCATCGGACAGGGACAAGATGAGCCGAGCCAGACCTCGACCTGGACCTGGAGCGACGAGTCGGACGCTGTCGTCTCTCGATTCGGGGGGGGGCGATGAGGCCGGCGAGGCCAGTGGACAGCACGAGGCAGAGGGTCGAGGGGCCAAGGCTGAAGGACTTGAGAGCGAGTGGACGGGGGAAGAAGGGAAAAAAGAAGACGAGATCCAAGGCCGACGAAACAGACGCCAAGGGCAAGGCCTGGACGCAGGGACGGATGGCGGATTGGGGATGACGGGCTTTTGGCAGTGGTGCGTCCTAGCGGCTTTGGGGCTCTCCGAGGCTTACGGGGGGGGCCTATTGGGGCCCTATTGGGGCGCTCTGGGGGACTTTCTGGGCTGTCTCTCAGCGGGCTCACTCACTGTCTACAGGCAGGCAGGGCACGCAATTGATTCCGCAAGGTACTCCGCAGGTTGTCCTAGCTGGTACTTGGTCCGCTCCAGGTACATGCAAACTGATCGCATGAATGGGCAATGCTTGGTGCGGCCAGGTGAGGAACTCGGTCGGTCACACTCTGACGCCCGGGGGTACCTGTGCGGTACTTTCTTCTGAATCCGAAGCCCTTCAACGGCAACGCCAAGATGCTCCTAGCACTGGATGAATAGCAGTATGGATGGATACACGGCCGCTGGCCTTCCCTTACGAGAGAGTACCTGCAGCGGCACCTTGCCAGAGCCTGCTGCGCCTCAATGCGACATGCGCGCTGCACCACTGGCTGCGGGCGGCAACAAGTACCTGCTCGAAGCATCTGGGCAGGTCTTGGCGCTGCCGGCAAGTACCCTCCAGGTTGCGGGTACTTGCCGGCGTGGTATCGCGATAAGAAGCCCGCCCACTGATTTACCTTCAAAGTACACACAGATGCAACACAACGGAACATCAACATGGACATCAATCACCATCTCCGCACTTGACTTGACAGCCCGCCGAGTGCGTGAATTTGACGGCCAGTTATGCCGTCATCTCGTGGGTGCATTCTTCGTCTCTCGATTTTTTTTTTTTTTTTTTTTTTTTTCTTTTTTTCTTTTTTTCTTTTTTAATTTTTCCTCGTCTACCGTGCCGCCATGCAAGTTTCTGCTCCTCAACGGCAAAATCGGCTCTTCAGCCCTCGTCCCTAGTGGCGAGATCGTCACGTCTCTTCCTGATACCCAGCTCTCCACTGGCTAACGAGGCATCAGGGCGTTGCATCGTCTGTTTCCAGCTGCATGGCTGCTAACACAGTCCCAGGTAGTGTCTTGTCTTAGTAGGTACGCTACAGAGGGCCTGGTGCTCGTTTCCATCAATGCTTGGGCTTTCGCTGGGCTTCGCTTGGGCTTCGGACATCAAATGCAACCACCAAGGCCTCACCCTTCCCATGTTCGCTGTACAGTACAGTTATCGAGGCACCAGCACTCATATGTACTATACAGAACAGCAGCAGCCGACAAGCAACCAGACGCTTCTAGCGGCTCTTTTCGAAGTCTATCCCATGCCTCTGCCCTCCAACAGGGCGCTAGGGGCTGCTAATCGGCACACGGCAATCATGGCTCGTGGTCGAGGTCCCACTGGACGGATGGCGATCGGCTTAGACGGCACGCGAGGAGCAGCCTGGAGAGTCATCCGGCATCAGTCGACAGTCGACAGCTCGCACAGCTGGCGAATGAAGAGCTCGTGTCGGCCTTGAATGCCTTGTCCAACACCATTCAGACAAGAGCTGCCGCATAAGCTGAGGCGGAGGATCGATCACGTACGAGTACCAGGTGCTACAAGCGGTTTCGCATGTACGGAGTACAAGCGGCTTCGTATAAACGACAGGCCATGTCATGTCATACCCGATGGTCGCTCTACACTGGGTCTACTGTACCGGATGTACAATGGGGCGTTGGTTCTGTGTCTCAGCGTCTGTTTCTGGCACTCTAGCCTTGGTACCTTGTCGGCACACACGATGCGAGGACATGCCGCTCGCCTGTCGCATTTGCTGCCCTATCAAACTTCAGAGTCCCCGGCCATCACCACAAGTTGCATCTCAACAATCCCGAGCGATTGCCGCAGCGGCCCAGCGGTCGGTAGTGACGGCGCAAGCGCGGCTCCATCCTTGTGCGATCTGATTTCTTTGTATGGAGCACCGCGAGGGAACAGCAACTGTCTCGCGTCGCTGTCGCTGTCATCAATGTCATCCTGGCCGTTGGCTACGCTGGGCGGGACTCGGCATAGTAGCGCCTCCATTCCAGTTGCTAGCCCGTACGACGCCGAGTATCCACGCTGCAGAATACGTGTTACATGTTTTGCTACCGACGTTCCTGTTGGTTTCTGGTCAGTTGAGCAGACGTTGAATATCATCACCAGCAAGGCCACAGGCATGTCCGCAACCTCGGGCTCACTCAACCGCCTCTTCTATACAGATCAGACACGCACAACGCACGTTGCCTGCAGCCAAGGCGCAATTGGCCTGCCTCTTACTCTTCCTCAGTCAAAGACCCAAAATTCCCCCATTTCCCCGGCTCAACTCTCGGCTCCACATTGCCGTCTTGGCATTTCTCCCTGCTGACGCGTTCGAGGATCCGATGCCATGATGCTCTGCTTATCAGCAATTCAGGAAGTCGGTGAAGATGTACGGAGTATCAACCATGTTTGATGGGCTTGTATATGTGCTCAGGTTCTTCTGCTTGGCGGAAGAACACCAACCGGGACGCCGCAAAGTCTATAACATGCAATAGTCGCCACTGTTAGTAGATACAGCCGTCACGCTGCAACCGACTGCGGAGTTTCCAGTATCCCACTAACAAACAGTCACGCCTCTCCCAGGTTACCAACAAAACTGACTGAATTACCGATACCTGGTACCTGACAACCAACCAGGCACCACCAAGGTACTAGAGGTAGTAGGTCCATGGATAGTCTAGAGCGTATTTCTATAAGTACATGGCTATACCTCGACTCTGACAGCAACAGCACAGACGACATACCCAAGGCAAGTATCCCGTACTATAATGACAAATGAAGAGCTCTCCCCCAATATTGCTTTTGCTCTCTTACGCCCACGAAGAAGTTGTACGAAAATTACAATAGAAGTAATTGAACATCGAGACTGAGCTCAGCCCAGATAATGTTGCTTGAAGGATCTCGTTTCGCTTGAATCAAAAACATCATACAAAGCCGGGCATGTTGCATATAATCTGGAGCTTAAGTAGAAGAATATGTAGTGAATGGGCCGATTTGCCATTCTTTATTATTATATACTTATATATACACAAGTCTCATGATGAAAAGCTGTGTCTTACGCTTCTCCCCATGAGCCTTCATTGGAAGTTCTCTCACTAAGCAGTAACTGAATACTCTTCGTATACAGACGACACCATCGTCTCTCGATTCTCCGTCAATCTTTCAGAGCTATGACTCCATGGCCTAATAATGGCCCTAGGGGATACATTACGTACGTATGCAAGCTCCCAAACAAACAATGAGTGAGAGGAGTGAAAAGACCAGTGTGCAAGTTGCCCGGTTATTTCTTCCGAGATGTATGCCATCGTGTAGCCAGCCCATTGAAAAGAACTCTCGGGGTAATCGATCGGTAGACTCAACCTCAAGTCCAACACATCGCATATAGTCGAGTTATTTCTGCGGCTTGGGGACCTTTTCCCACGGGCGGTCGTCAGGGTGAGCGTCTTTCTGATCCCGACCTTCTTCTACATGAGCGCTGAACCTCCTCGTCATTTTGATTCCGTCAAACATGAGCTCTTCCACGCTATCGCCCTCCTCGTCGCGACGGGTCGTGCGTGCTCGTGCGCTGCTGACGTGGTTGTGTGATCCGAGAGCGTAGGCAGACTTGCTCGTGACGGTTGTTTCCTCTCCGCCGAGTCCTAGCCATCGAAGTAGTTGCCTTGTGAGAGGAACCCATACAATGGGTAGGCCTGCAGCAACTCGATGGTTAACACGGAACTTGTAGGGGTTGGTTGATCCCATAAAGAGCAGGAAAGAGACGTACAAGCACAAATAATTCCGACATTGGTCTCGACAAACGTCCAGCTGTTAGACACGGCTTGATAATCTGCATAGTCCTACTATTAGTACATGCCGTGAAGAGCTAGAGGAGTTGTGGATAATCGTTGACTGACAAGTCTGATCCGAAGCGGTCGTCTGCGGTGACACGGTAATCATTCGTATAACCGTACAGGCAATGACAAAGATACCCAGGCTAAAGAGCCCGCAAAGCAGCAACTTCTTCACCAGCGGCAGCTGGAGTCGTCGAATCTCGTTGATCGGCAACCCGATGATCAACATGTCCGTCACAATGTTCAACACCGACGTCGCTATTTTCAACAGCGGTTAGCAAGTTTCCGCAATATGATGGGCCAACATAATGTCAGGTAGTTTCCGACTCACAATACCAGATGCTGATGGAGTTGACGCACTTGCCGGGCAAGGACTTGTTCCAAGACTTGTCTATGGGGTTGCAGGCAAAAATGGTCATCAGCACTGCGGCCAGCGTGTAAGCCACAGTCACCGCCATGACGCTGATGACAGCGATGCGGAACTTGCGGTCCGGGAAGATTCGCAGATACAGCATGCCCAGGGACGTCTTTGTGAGGCACGTCGTGATCTTGTATAGGATCTGGGCGGCAAAGAACCACTGTGCTTTTTCCGTCAGAGATTGCTTTGGCCGCTGTTCGTTTTGCTGGGTGTTTACCTTGAAGGCTACTATCTTGTGGTGCGCATCGAGTTGGGTACTGTGAAGTCCAAATCCATTCCCAGCCTCTGTTTCGTTTTTCCCTTGGTGTTAGTGACACATCACGAAATCAAGTTGCAAAAGAAAGTGATACGAACCTCCGTTGTAAGCAACCGTCATGCAACAAGCAAGGGCCTAGTGACGACAAACAAGAAACAAGTCAGACCATCAATTCCCATCCAGCGATGCATTTCAGTGTTTTATCCCATACCAGTGCCGCCACAATCAAGACATCGTCAGCTCCCCAGGCCTTGGTGTGAAAGTATCTCGTTATCAACCGCAATATGACGAAGAAGCCAGCCAGGCAGACAAAGATGATGGACAACTGCGCGAGACTCTCGCCGCGAGGATTCGGATCCCCATCATCAATGGCATCGCGCTTGCCGAACGGCGCGTCGATGCCCAAGTCGATCATGGCATGCGAGGCAGAGGCTCCCGATAGATTAATCAATCTATGGGGTATTCGGCGATCACAAAATGCACATCACGATGGGCAGGAAGAACAACGGGGCGGGACCGGTTGGGCTTATACATAGGTCCCAGAATCTCCCAAGATTCGTCTGCCCTCCTCCCACCCTCCCCCCGGCCGTCGAGCGACAATCGTCAAGAAGGGATTCCGGGCTGCGACGTTTGCCCACAACTGGGGGGAGAGAGACGGAGGAAAACTAGCCCCTTTCATGGTCCCCTGCGTTAGCTGGCTGGAGACTGGCCATGCTGCAATCACTAGCAACAGCAGGTAGGATTACCACCATGACCTCAGCTCGGGGATGAAATCTGGGGGCCTTGTCGCAGAGTCGTATTGGCAAAGGGTTTCGCTCCCATCACGACGATACAACCCTGCGAGTCATGCGGGTCTGCTCCGAGATTCCCAAGCAGTTCGTCCGGTGAGGGAACCTGTGAAAGTATGAAATGTAACAGCACAGCACGGAGCACAGTAGCCTCTTCGGTTACAAGATACGACAACGTGCTGTATGTTGGTTGCGTATCAAGAGTGTGTTGGTTGTTGTTGGTTCAAGGCCCTTTGCTCAAAGAGAAATAGGCCGAATCCTAGCCCTTCTCTAGTCGGCCTGCCAATCGTCTAAATTGCCGGAAAAGGTCTCCCGCGTGCAGAGAAATCAGCCAAAAGATCAGCTAATGGCGGGCTAGATCCACCGTCTCGGTTCTCGGTGTTTCTTCAAGACGCCCCTCTTTGCTCACTGCGATATATATTTGCAAGAGTCCCGAACCATCTATTGAGCAGGGCTCTGTGTTCCGGGTCCTCTCGAGACCAGCAGCCTAGTCGGTATGCATAAGGTCATCTCCTTTATACATACACCAGGTCTCCTATGCATCCAATGGCAATGATGAAGGAAGAAGAGCCAAACTTGTGAAAGTACCCATCAAACTAACTAGACAAATACGACTGAGGCGAGACTCCAATCTTCATCTTCTTTTCCTTGCCGGTTTCGGAAAGCGAGTCGTCTGGCACCACGTGCTACGAGATCGTTGCGTCTCATGCTTCGACTTGCTGAATCGGCGTCTCAGCTTCGCCATTGTTAAAAGACCGACACTTGGGCTTGGGGCACTTTTGACGTTCCAGAGTCCAGACCTATTTCCCTCCTTGCTGCCGGATTAATTACCGGCATGCCCCAGTGTGTCATTGCAGGGGACCGAATGTCGCCAGCCCGAATCCTTCGGCCCTCTGGGTAAATTGGGAGAATGCCATTGGACGGAAAAGAATCAAACAATGGCGTTGACCAACACTTAAGACGCGGCCATCTGTCAGTAGCGCAAATGTTTATTGCACGTCGTCTTTTTTTCCTTGTCTGACAGAACGCCGGTGGCCTTGGTTTTTTTCCTCCTCGTCTCAGAATTTTAACCAGCGGGCTTCTCTTCCTACCCAGGCTAGACAAACAGCCACCTCAACTGCTAGACTACAATGTCCATGTCGTGGAAGAATCAGACCAGCTCGTTGACGTCGGTTAAAAGGCAACAAGAGCTCCAGGAAAGCTGGCCTCGACTAACACGGGCCGGGCCAAGCCGAAAAGCATAATGAGACAATTATTATCTTCTCTCCTCATCTCAGGAAAACTAGGAGAAGCCCGCCTGACTCTCAAGATCATGCCGATCCACCGCACCGTAGCTAAACCGACTTGCTATTGCCCTTCCCCTGTCCCTTCTCCTCTCTGTGGTGGCAAGTCCCCGAAAATGCGGCCCTCAGATAATGATTGTCGTAGGGAATGGTAATGAGGTCCGGGTAATCCGAGTTCATGCAACAAGATGCGTTTAACAGCCTATCGACCACCTGGAATGCTTAAGAGAGCAATCATGCTCATCTTGAACCGCCAAGGAAGCAGAAATCCACTCGTCATTAAACTAAAAGCGGCGGCCTCATCAATAACAAAATAACTGGCAACCTTGTGCGGCATGAGACGAAATCGGAGGCCAGAGTTTGTTGGCCATGTCTTGCGTACTAAGCTAACTAGTGCTTGGATTGAGCCATTTCGTGCTCGACATAGTCCGGGTGTCGGTGTTGGTAGGAAGACTTTGGGATTCTCCCGGTTCGAGGCGAAACAGCTGCTGAAGAACTTTGGTCTCAAGCGAGTTGGTTTAGCCGAATTCGAATCCGCGTAAACAGCCTGGCTGGAACTCTGTGTCTATAAAGAGGGGGATCAGGCCGTTGAACGCGGCCTGTGGATGGTTGGCGTATACGCAGTGACAAGTCAATCAGGATAGGCTGTGCAGTTCTTCGCTTTGCCATTTGACAACCCGGTCAACTGCATAGGGAAAGATATATCACTGGACGATTGGCTAGAAACGGTTACCAACGTTCGCCTATAGCAAATCCACAGTCTCCCATTTGCCAAGACGGGAGGGGTGCCGAGACGGGGAGCAATGGACAATAGACCAGGTGAAGCATTATTCGCGGTATTTCCGAATTCCGGATGAAGCATATGCCAGAATGCCGCATTGCGACGGGCGCTAGAAGTGATGGGCTGAAGAATGCGGACCAGAAGGTCGGTAAAGACGTGACCTTGGACAGGGCTCTCGTCTACATATCCGTCGACTATCGACTATAGAAGCGATCAATAGCGTTGATTACTATCTTGAAGATGTGGATGGTGCTCGCCTAGCAAGGGATCTATCTGATCTATTAGTGAACAGTCTATATTTCTGAGATGGTCTTTATGACAAATGATGTCTGAGTCTGCCAGCCACGTCCAGTGTACTCCTTAGATGCTGTGTAACACCATCATTGATCGTTCTGTTCTTATCTGCACAGATCCATAAGATGGATCACACATCTCCCCGTCGCAGACAAGATGAGCACTAGAAGCTCCAATTCATCTCCCCGAATGCATTCCAAATGTCACCCTTGCCTGAAGCCCGCTAAACTTCTCCAGTTCGGTTCCGCTTTCGACCAGGTCCCCCCAGACGCAACTGGACCAAAACGGCCATCAACCGCAACACTCGACCAACGACTGCCAGCAAACAACTGCAACCAGGGACCTCGTTCTAGGTCCCCAGCTCCGGTCACCGTTGCCAGTTCGAGTCCTGTACTCTACAGGAGCAGTAGCAGTAACAGTAGCATTGGAAATAACCGCCTCCACCACGTGTCTGCCACCATGCTTTACTTGACCCGGCTAGCTTCGCGACAAGATTCTCCCGGCTCCAAGATGAGCCTTGCGCGTTTGACCCGTCGCAAGTAGATTGTGTCACTAATCAGAAAGACATATAACTACGTTGTCCAGCGCTGTGTGTCGTGCCGGCCCGCCATGTAGTTGAAGAGAGTACATGTAGAGGATAGAAGGGGAAACCATTGAAGAGAAAACCACAAAAACACAAGCACCAACTGTCATTCTCTCCTTGTCGTTGCCCGACTCTTCACCAGACACAATGCAGTCGCGTTCTCTCGTTCTCGCCGGCCTCGTGGCTTGCGCCCAGGCCCTAGACACGGTCCAATACGGCGCCTTGTGAGTTCCACGGATATGAATCTCTCTGACCTCAATCCGACCAAGGCAATTGATTGACTGTGAGAGTCGCAGCTTGCCCACGGCCACCTACTCCGTCGCCAACCAGCTGGGCTTCTTCACCGAATACGGCCTCAACGTCGTCTACAACCAGGTGCCCAACAGCACCGCGGCCTTTGCCTCCATCCTCAACGGCCAATACGACATCCTGACGGCCACGGTCGACAATGCGCTCAACTTCCGCTTCAACCAGAACCAGAACGTCACCGTCATCGGCCAGCTGGATCAGGGCCCGGACCTGGTGCTCGCGTCCATCCCGTCCATCACCAGCATCGACCAGCTCAAGGGCAAGCCCATCATTGTCGACTCGCCCCTCAGCGGCTACGCATATCTGCTGCAGGATGTTCTCGCCACCCACGGCCTGACGCTGGCCAACAACGACTACTACTTTATGGTGAGTTGAGTTGAGAAGAAGCAATTGCAATTGCAATTGGACAACCGAAACACCAACATGCTGAAATGTAAAAGACCGTCGGCGGAACTCCCCAGCGATTCTCTGCCCTCGTCAACGAGGTCCTCCCCAACGGCACCGCCGTCTATGCCACCATCCTCACCTACCCCTTCGCCGTCGAGGGCGAGGCTCTCTCCCCCAGCCAGGCGCCCAACATCCTCGCCCGCATCTCCGACGTCGTCGCCCCCGTCACCTCGAGCGCCTTCACCATCCGCCAGTCCTCCCTGAGCAGCAAGGCCGAAAACGCCCTGCTGACCCGCTTCATGGCCTCCATGTACGCCGCCAACAGGTTCCTGCTCAACCCCAAGAACAAGCCGTGCGCCGTCCAGGCCCTCGTCAAGCAGCTGGGCGTCTCCCAGGCCGTTGCCGCGCAGGAGTACGCTTCCGCCACCAACCTGTTGTCCGGCGAGGTCTCGCCGCCGCTCAACGACTTCACCGTCAATCCCACGGGCATCCTGAACGACGTCGATATCAGGAAGCAGTTTGGCGGCTTCAGCGTTCCGGACACGTTCAACTTTGCTGCCGCTCTGGTTCCGGGCGTTGGCAAGCTCATTGACTATTCCGTCAGGAACGCCGCCGTTGCTCAGTTCAAGAAGCATCCCTTGACTGGCAACTGTACCATGTCTTGCAAGCCACGATCCTGAGGGACTGTAGAGGCTCGGGGTTTTTACTTGTTATTTGTTTAATATACCTATATAGACATATAGATGATTACGATACGTTTCGTACGACGCAACTTTAATATTATTGTTTCCAACGTTTAAGATAAGAAGTCAGGATTTCCTTGGCTTGTCCGATACGTGATTATGACACCAGACTCTTTTTTTCAAGTCTAGCTTCATCATATACAGCACTCTGTACGCTCAACAGGTTTGTGCAAGTTAATTCCTACAGTTGAATGCTTGCAAATATGAACCGATACAAAATGATGCGCAAATCATAGGATATATCAGTTGTTGAAACCCCGCTAGAGTCAATCTGAAATAGGGCTTTAGAGGCTTATTCTTGAATTTATACATCGCTTGAGCGGCTTTTGGATTCTTCGAGATGCATACCTTGAAAGAGAGGTTCCGTCAAAACCAGGTAAGTGCCTCATTCCTGTGAAAGGTTCGGAATAGCCGCTCTAAGAGTAATTGTAAGTATGTGCGTCTGTATCATCATCAATGAGTTTGAAGATGCAAATTCGAATATGTAGACTTTGCAGAGCACAGGAAGAGTTGTGTTGTTTAGTTCCAACCATTGTTCATGAATGATATTAATGCAGTGGCAAGACCACTTCATGTCGCCTAGCTAGCTTCTGAGACGATTCTTTATTTTTCCCTCGAACTGCATATCTGTTGTCTCTTCCAGCATGCTCTCTGTACGATCGATGAGTGCTGAAGGAGTGCAATGCAGTACCCCCTACAAAGCTTAACTCTTATTTTTCTTAGTTTAGTAAACTGCAATTAATCTTGGGGCAGGAAATCTAGTTGTGTTATCTCGCAGATAGCTAAGTCCTCTCTATACTACTTAACCAGTACTTGTTTGGACTCATTCTTCACGGGTGCTTGCATTCAATTTCAAAAGCACGAAACAAATCCACATAAGCCGACTCTAGTTCGCTTCTAAAAAAACTTTCGTCATCAAGATGCCCTTTAATTTGAAGTTGACTACCAAAATTGAAAGACAGTTCTATACAGGAGAGTAAGGTTATAGTTCACAATGGAATAGGATGGAAAGGGAATCGTCACAACAATGGAACACAAGAAAAGAGTGATGGGGTCAAAGACAAAGAGATGAGCTAACAGCAGGCCAGTTTGGAGTCACGCGGCTGGTGATTGAAAAGAGATTTCATATCCTCTGAAACTGCTCAGCAAAGGGAGTAAACCTCTTCTTTATATTATCAAACCTAGCTTGAACCCGGAAGCTTCTCTTCAGCTATTCAACCTCTTGACCTCTTACAGGAGCACTTGTAGTTCACATCGGAGATTCTAGATTGTTAAAGAAACTCAACATGCCCAATTCACAATATCTCCCGATGCTCCTGATCGATGGACACACGTTATGTTGAGTGTTATCAATATATTCACCGGAATAAAGAGCTTTGCGTTATTGAAGCCGGTGAAGTTGTGTGATTCAGGACTTGCAATGACATTCCCATGAATATCACAACTCACCATCTCAACTGCAGTATCTCACATAAGTTACGAAGTAGACATGTATCACTTTTCCAAGCTAGTTCATAACTTACACTTTACGAACACTAGTCTTGGCAACTGATCCTTCCATCGGCGACTTTTATAAACTCCGCCGGAGAATGATCGAAACGTGAAAGAAACCAATCGAGATTTAATGACATGTCACAAACTAGTTCTTAAAGCTATCAAGATCATGTGCTTTAAAAAACACCCAATAGCTCAGCACCTTCAAGTCGCGATGACTGATGCATTGGGAATCGGTCCCCGGCAGTCTTTGACAGCATCTACAGATGCAATACAGGTTAGCACCATCACAAGTCCCGCAAATCCGCACATCTCATGGCAGTCGTCCGGATAAAACAGCAGATAAGAAAACAGAAATGAGTAATCAGGAACGGCGTATCATTATCCTTCTACATCGCTCCACGAAACATCATCTCATATCTCAGAGCCATAAACGAAGTATAGTATATAAAATGTTTACAAAGCACTTAGGTATCCTTGGTAATTAGCCATCACGATCAATTGGTCTATAGACAATATCCCTACACCACCACCCAACATAAGAACAAAAACAGAATGACCACGTAATATCAACGTCCCTACTCTTCCAATAAAATGCGGGATATCGGCATCCGGTTATCATTCGTATTAAACAGCTTACATCCGACAAGGTACGGTACAATGCTCCCCAATCAAGACTCCATACCAAAGAAAACCCCCACGCCCCCAAAGCAAATCACCCCGTCAGATATGCATTACGAAACGTCCAACACAGACAATCGTAGATACACAAAACACCTCCTGATCAGGCTTATACCTACCTACACAAATAATGTAATTAAACTTCCAAAAAAGCCCAGACATCTTCAATGACACATGAATACAACTCTCAGAATCCATCATCTTGACTGATACACGGAACACATGTAGGTAGTACATGTGCTGCAACACCAACAGCACAGGCGAAAGTAGTGAATGATGAAAGAAAAATCACCGATCACAGCACCAAAATCGGGCATCAATTTGCCGAAACCCCATCGGCAAGTAAGGCGGTAATCCTTCCGGCTCTCTCTCTCTCCCCCCCTCCCAAACCCAGCACCAAGCGGTAATTGGCAGCTTCTACTGTAATGTCCCGTTACCGTGACATTGCATCAACGCTGATTGGCCTTCTTCCCCCCAAGGGGACCGTCCGCCAGAAAGAAAAATGTCACGCGCCGCGATTCATCGGGATTATAAAAAAAAAAGACAAGGTAGAAAAAAAAAGAAAAGACATTGCAACCGCACAGACTACTCTGGCGTATCAAATTCGCTCCGGTATGTGACTTCCCGAGGCCGGGCTCCCCCCATCCCCCATTCTTCGCCCATATGCAATGCTACGTTCTTTCTTTATGCATGCAGAGAGACACAAAAGAAAAGGCCACAAAAAAAAACAGGGACCCCAACAGGTTCGGGGAGATATCAAGCCCTTGCTCGTGGGGGGGAGGAGGGGGAGGAGGAAGGGAAGAGAGCCAGGAATTCAACCGGTATGAAAGCACATCATTGCGCAATAATACGCATACACCGAAAGAAAATAAAAACAAAACACCGCTTTGTCGAGACGAGTAATGCCTGGGGAGGGAAAAACAGGGCTGGCTGGCCCTCCCCGTTCTGAATTTTTAACCCTGCCTCTTTTCCAAGTCCGGTCACCGAAATCCTTTGTTTGTCTCGGACAACTGCGCAGGATATAGCAAAAAGTGCAAAAAAAGAGAGCAAGCAGGCAAAGCAAAAAAGCAGCGGGCTTCAACCCTGCTCATACGTACATATCCCGCACAACGGATAACAGTACTCGTACAGCACGTCACATCGCTTCTTGGAACACACACACACCCTCCCTCCCTCCCTCTCTCTCTCTCTCCATCTCTTCTGCAGTGCATCTTTTTCGGGATCCCACTTTCAAAAAAAAAAGTACATGTCCTTTTTTGATGAGGTTCATTTATCTGAGAGCCCGCCTGTCAGACGCCTATCGATCCATCCCGTAAAAAAAAAAAAGGAAGAGAGAGAGGCTTACACGAAAATTAAAACCCCACGACTCCGTGCCCCTCTCTTCACCAAATTACTGATCGATAGCGCGAGCGGAAGGGCTCGACTACTCTCGAATCTCGCCTAGCCGCTTTCTCCTCCTCGCATTCCGAATCCGCATACGAACAGCAATGGGAGAGACTTGAGAAAGAGAGGGTAGGGGAGGGAGTGGTTCCGGGACGGAGAAGAGCGGAATTCAACGGTTATTCCTGCTACCACCCCTCCCCCCAAAAACTGACACGCAGCCCTGTCGGATGGCGGATTTAAGCGTCAGCATCAAAAGAAGAGAGAGAGAGAGAGAGCACAGACCGGACACGAGAAAAAAACGCCATCTCGGGGGCTTCGACCAGATCGGTCCATCCCTCCGGGGTTGGCTTGGCTCGGCCGAATCGGCCGAGGGAAAAGCCGTCATCGTGCATGGCCCTGCTCTATTGCCATTAGAGATTGCCAACGATGGCTAAAAAGACGGTGCTAGGGAGCGGCAGAGGCAAGCTTTTTGGGGCCGTTTTAGCTTTAGTGGTGTCTTGACATGGAGCACTAAAAATGAAACGCTCGACCAAAAGGTGTCAATGTAGGTATTTTGTCCCCATTTTCTCTGACAAAGGGGGGGGGGCACAGCCTTGCCGGCGTTGCAGTCGGTAAACCTCAGCCCTATCAAGCCTCTTCTTTCTGTATGTCTGTTGGTTGGTTGCCATCGTCGTCGTCAATCAATAAGCCAAGACAGAGAAAAAAGGCCTCCAAGCAGTTGAGTTTACAGCTCTTCCTCAACTGGACAACTCCAGACACTAAACGTACAATAGTAAAACGCAATGACTAAAAAAGGGAATCTTTATGCGCATGTTTCCGTCGCGGTCCTGAGCGGCGAGTGGATGCCCTTTGAGATGACGTGAGGCTAGCTCCAAAGCAGAGATCCAGGCAGAACCGGTTGACGGCTTCAAAAGACGTTACGGACGCTCCGGAAGGTTCATTTACTGTTTACGGTAAGTTGCCTCATAAGCTGCTCCTCACGGAATGTCATTCGGGCTTCTAGAAGGCTTCCGACCCACGGACATGCTTACATACATGCGAGTGCACGAGTAAGTACAGTCTGGCCGTGTCAAACTCCATTGCGCGCGGGAAGAGATGAAGGAGGGGCGTCTCCGTTTGCCACCTTGTCAGCAACAACGTGGTCGGATCCTATCGTTCCGTCATTGTTTCCTATTCTGGCCACCGTCGAGGCAATGCCGGGGGATGAGTGGGTGACGAGCTTATAGACTACTACTTGGTAGTCGAGGTGCTGTTTGCTAATATAGCCCAAGGTAGTTCGTCTCCTCTGAGCAGTACGCCAGGGGGGGTGAAATGACGAAGCATCAGCTCGGATAACTGTCTTGTTAAACTGATGTTGCCGACTCCGTCCCCCCGGGCGT